GTTGGAAATTGTTTTGAATATGAATAATTACAAGTTGATAAGTTTATCATATGCATGCGATAAACGAACACCTTCATCTCTGTTAGGTCAGGCTGATATCTTCTGATGTGGATAGCTTCATGAAGTCTCCTGGTTTTATCTATGTGCTTATTGATTGTCAGTATGTTGGTGTTGTCAAAGTTGACTTTATGTCCTGTTTTCCTTCCCATAGCAAGATGTTCAGCCACAGCAGATGTTCCTTCATTGCCGGGCTTGTCTTGATGGTCTTTGAGTCGAACATCAAGGGGTCTCTTTGTTTCCCCTATATACGAGCTTCCACAGGAGCACTCAACTTGGTAGACACATCCCTTAGGTTTTTGGTTGTTGGAGGGATTCAATTTACCACTGGCTCTGAGCAAATCTTTAAGCGTTGAGTTGCCAGAGAACACTGTTTCAATGCCAACTGACTGACTCAAGAGCTTAAAGCTAACCAACTAATAGTGTGCCTTATGTTTTTTTTCAGTTACAAAACAATTTTCTGTACAAGATGAAAACTATGCAGTTAAAACCTGATAACAATCTGTATCTTATTGTACTGTTAGCAGTATTATCAATACTGGTGTATGTAAATACTTTATATTGCTATCATTTTGAAAAACTAACTAAATGCAGGTCATCAAACCACATACTTTAAGTACTATTATCAATACTGGTGCATATAAATACTTGAAAATTGCTATCATTTTGAAAACTAAAATAAAGTTCATCAACCAAAATACAATTGAATTGCATGGTCTATGTATTTACAGTATACAACTGAGAAACTGAATAGGGTTATGTACATAATCTATCAATTCTCGAAATTTGTCTTATTTTGAAAACCAACTAAAATGCAGTTCATCAACCAAAATACAATCTAATGCACTGTCTATGTATATCTTTACAGTGGGTATATAACTTTGAAACTGAATAAGTTTATGTACATAAGTTATGCACTTCAGATCTAATTTGAAAAAATATTTCATGAAGCCATCAATGGCCTTGTTATCTATCAAACTATAAATTACAGTCACTGAGTGCAATGTATTAAAATGTCTATTAGTAATTGGACATAAGTAAATATACTTCTGCATAAAATTAAATTTCTAAATTGCTGTAAGTTGTCGTAAAGTAAATTGAAGATGACAAGAGTTTATTTCATGCTTCAAGAAATTCTTTGATCATTTAAAATTATAATTTCTTAGTAATTGAGTCTATTTACAAGATAAATTGTGTCTCTGTATAATTTTTTTTTATCTAATATGTTTCAAATGACGCTTCACGAAGTCTCTATTTTCTTTTTTAGAATTTTGAAGTTTAATTCAGAAATTTCATAATGAAATCAGTAAATATAAAAACTGCTGATTTGTTGCACTCAATTAAAAATAATATCCACCAAAAAAATTATGAAAATTTACCAAAAACTTAGTTAAGTAGGACTGCTGATTTCTCAAGAGTTATCAAGATTATTCAGTTTTTTCAAACTCAAAATATTAAAGTTATGAAAAAGTGGCAAAATTTTGTCAAAAGCTCTGAGGACTAATTATGAATTATAACTTTGCATTGAATCTCAATTTTCTTCATAGAATGGTTATAGGTGTACACATTTAAAGTGACATCCCTTTTATTCTCGAATTGTCAAAATCAACGAGTATTTTTTAACCTAGTCAAATTATCAAAAAAGGTTGGTCAAAAACTCTTCAGAAGTTTTATAAGAAAAATCACCACCTGAAGAACTAATTATGAAGTATAAAAATTGTATTAAAGTGTTTATCAAATATTTTAATAAGATTGATAAGTTATTGTATATTCCACACACAAACTGGGCTGAATCAAATATTAACCTTCAATATACCACTTTATCTAGCTAACTTTAACAATCATAGCTGTATGCTTGGCTGTTGACAAATCGCACACACTCCTATTGAACTCTTGTAGGTTTGAATAATATTTGATCAAACCTTAAATCAATATGCCTATTTTTAATAATAACATGGCTTTTTGAGAGTTGGTATTAATAAATATGTTATCTGTGTGGTAAAATCATAGGCCCCTTTTACAGATTGGTTAGAATTACACATACAGTAAAACTTATAGTAAGCAAGCAGTCAGGTGAATGGGGTCCGTTGATTTTTGTTTATGCTGAATGCAAGTGACATTACTACAATTACAATTTGATTGGGTTAAAATCTTTAGTTTGAGTGGAATTTCAAGAAACACGATGCTATCAGCTAATTCTAATATCAATATTTAAAAAACTCTCAGAGAAGGAAAAGGGGCATTCCAGAGGATAGAATAAATCATTTCCCCTCATTATTCATGTCAACCCAGCAGTAAATAGGAACGAATAATTAAGGACAGATAAACAACGGGCATGGTCAAGGAAAAGCTTGAGAACCAAAACTGTTGCCCTAAGATTTTCTTTATATAACTTTAAGTTTTTAAGGGTGGGAATTCACCTGACTAGATCAGTTTTCATGATTTACTGAGGTTATGTTATCTGATCTTACAGTCAATCATTTAATAAACATCAACATAAAGATAACATTCCTTTATCTTGTAATCAATACTAATCAAACACAGCCCTTGACTTCTAACAACAATGGCCCTATCTTATCAGAAGATCAATCAAGCTTGACCATTATTAGCAAACTCAAATTACAAAATGTTATCTGTGTATTTAATGTAACTTTGATGTTATTGACAATGACATTAACCAACTACCAACTACTACGAATACCAACAACTACCTAGTTTGTGATATATCAGCATCCGCAGGAAGCAAACGTTAACTTATCATCTACCAACCAATCAATGACATTAAACTTGTCATTTTTGCTTTGCTTGACAGTCAGGACTAACTTATAGGCCAAATTCATTTTTCAATCTCTTTAAAAAACAAATTTTTATATTTTGTTTGGAATTTTTTTTCTGCGGGTAACTTTACTTGCCGTCTTTAACAGTGTTTCTGATTTTTTAACATAATTTATTATTGCATCTGCATTATGCCAACTTTTTGATTTTTACACGGTAACAGAAATTTTCCTAGATTTACTAAAGGGTAATAAAGGGTGTGTATTATACTCACAATTAAACAGTAAAAATTACGCTGATAATCTTAATTACTCACCAAAACAAGGACTGTCTTGATTGCCAGACTTGATTTCTATGTAGAGTTTTGGCAGCTAGTAATAAGGTATAAACAGTAAATATTGTTATCAGTAGCCATTTCTTCTTGCTATATCTTGAACATAACTTTGTCAAACCATATCCAACCATCAAAGAGAAACCCAGACTGAAATAAAAGATAAATATATGTAACTTCCTTAAGGTGCATTTCGAAATTGGGTAAGAAATAACTAGACACAATTATATGGATTATATGATCATCATTGCTTGATAAATACGAAAGTACCTTCGTCGAAACATAAGTTAATATTCAAGGTAAATGTTATCTATATAATTGTGTCCAGTTGTAGGTCTATGTAGTAATTTGTATCACTAATGCAGACCTATGGCACCTCTAAGCAGAGAGTTAAGCACCACAAAGGAGAAAATTTAGCAGAATGGGTTTACAGTGGACCACTGGTCTAATCTTTGATGCTCAGGCCACATAATCTTCACAATGCCAAGGTATTACAAACTTCATCTAATACCTTGACTTCATAGGCACTTTTCTTGAAACACTCTGGTCTATTTATGCAGATTTGATTTTACTGTACGCTAGCAAAAAGTCAACAGAGAGTCCGTAAACAAATGAGCCATATTGTTGCAAAAATTATTGTTCTGGCTGAATTTTTACCTATTCTACCTTATCACTTTATGATTGAGAGTTATCTACAAACTCATCACCATCCAACACAAACTAGCTTGTTTAACAGATGTAACTTGAACAGATTAGATTGGGTAGATTGTTTGTGTTTAGTCTCTTACAAAATTTCTAATCATACAAGCCCCCAATTAGATTCGCACTTCAATTCATCAATTCATAATGCACCTTCATTGTAACACAGTAAACATGTACTCTTACATCTAATAGAAAGTATACAATTTATCTGGGGTGAATCTATGTATATTATCCATCTAAAAAGGTAGATAGTATAATATTATTGTAATATTCAAAGACTATATACTTATCTTATTCAAGATTTAAAATGTAAAATAGACCATGCTCTAATATATACAATTATTGATCATTGAAGCATTGAGTTTTCATAACTTATTCTGTTCTTTTTATAAAAGTAAATTACAGTAATCAGAAAAAATCTAAAAGTTATTAAAAAGTAAATTGGTTTCCAGAGAAATTATATAATGATTCAACTACTTAATATAACTAATTCTGTTCCTTTTTATATATTACAGAAATCAAAACAAATTATCCCTTTTAAACAGTAAATTGGCTTGTTAAAGTTTTCAGCTTGTATTCAGATTTCAAATATTAAAGGTATTTTAAAGACGTTTTCTAAATTTCTTATGTGTATCAGGACCCTAATAGCATCAATTTCCACCATTCTAATTTTCAATCAGACATTAGTGGAAATTCCACTAAGACTAAGTGTTTGATTATGTCACTAAATGCAATATCACATAAGGTCCTATACAATTAGTGATGTCATCAGACAGTGGAATTTAGTGGAATTACGGTCGATTGAAAATTAAAATGGTGTACATTTATGCTGTCTTCGATACACAAAAAAAATTTAATAAACTTTTTGCAATCCCTTTAATTGAACTTATTCTGTTTTGTTTATGTGATTACAACTTGTAATTTAATTCAAAAAGTAAATTGGGTTGTTAAACTCTATTCAGATTTTAAATATTTAGCATAGATCATCTATCAAAGATATATATGTGGTTTTCATCCTGTTTTTGTATGTTAAAACGATGTCCCCAAATATCAAAAGGGAAAATGGATCAGATATCAGGCACGGTCTTGGGTCGTTTGAGTATAAAATCTGCAAATAATTGTCTGAGTACTCAGAGACAAGTTTAGCAGAGGCTGTGTATAGTGTTATCATATGAGATATATATATAGTTGGATTGTTATTTTTTCATAGCCTGTGACACATCAAATGTCCCCAAAAGAGCGCAAATTTGTCACATGAGGACATGTTGATGTTGATGAAAACCACATAGTGATATGACTAAGATGAATTTTGCAGAGAATGAGATATTTATCGAGAGACAGTGTGAAAATATTTTTTGTATCAAAGTAAATCAACTATGAATCGGTTGTATTTGTAAATGAAGACAATTTGACCTGTACATTCGACATTGAGGACCTTCTCTATACAGACTTCACAATGTTCATTTGAATTGGATATAAATGTATTCAAATTGGACCCTTGACAATCTGTACAGAACTTAAACAAAGTGTTAACTTGCTCATTGATGTAGAAAATAGGTTTATTGGAGCATCAAGTTTAGGTCTATGGTTAGAATGTCCATACGAAACTATTGATATGAAACTATCCATTCGAAACTAATCATTTCAGTTCAATTAGGTAAGATGAATAGTATATGAGATATATTCAGTGATAAGATTGATAAAGATCAGGGTTATTTAGTTATAATAACAACTTATTACCATTTTACAGTCCAATAATTATACTATTTAGTCTTTTTACTTTCTTAAACAAGGTCGTTGATCAAGCTAAGTTAAAATGAGTCTAAGAGAGTCTGGGAAATTGACAGTCATTTTTCAAAATTATGAAAATTGCGAAAAGTTTTTTAGCAATGATAACAACCTATTACGATTTTACAGTCCAATAATTATTCTATTTAGTCTTTTACTTCCTTGTAGTTTCTCATAAATTCCTAAACCAGTTGACTGAGAAAGTGATGCACTCATTAGATAATTTTCTCTACCAGATTTTAGAGCCCAATTGTTATTTTTTAGTTATTTAGGAATGATAACAACCTATTGCAATTTTACAGTCCAATAATTATTTTCTTAACCAGTTGATTGAGCAAGTGATACACTCATTAGATAATTTTCTCTACCAGATTTTAGAGCACAATTGTTATTTTTTTTTTCAAATTCATAAAAAAGTGATAGTTATTTATCAATGATAACAACTTACTGCAATTTTACAGTCCAATAATTACACTCTTAATCTTTTTACTATCTTAAAGTGATATAGACGTCTACAAATACCTTTACCAGTTGATTGAGCACCATTTGATAAACTTCCTAACCAAGTAAATATAACACTTATAATTCAAAAAATCATAAAATCATTTAATTTATTGGGTGTGATATAGTATTATCTATGTATTTATTACAATAATTACACTATTTGTTTTTTACTGTCCTTTTAACTGACAGAGCATCATTTAAAGTAGAACTCTCCAATTCATATGTTCTAGTTAGCTGTAAGTTTGAAAGTGTGAATGAACCCAAAAGAATAAAAATTCAACCTTGATCAGCGATTTGAGAAGGAAAAAATTGAAATAAGCCACTTTTATTTCACATTTGAACAAAATTAATTATTCAATTTTTTCACTCCATAAAATTTGATAATAGATGTTGTTGATAAGAGTTATAAAATCAGCAGGGATGAAGGTGATTTGACTGGTAGTTTAATATCTCAATGACAGCAGGTAGAGTCTATATTATATACCAGGTATATAAACATATAACAATAGTAAGCTTGTTGATATACCACTGCACGAGTCAATATCACAACATCTGGGTTTATTACTGACTCTTATTATCCTCTCTAATCATATTTTAATATTCAAATTTTCACATAGGATTCGAAATGAATCAAATAAAGTACCATTAAAATTTTACCACAGAAATTTTAATTGTTATTACCTTTATATGACCATTTTGAATCACCTGTGTTAAAATTTGTGATTTAAGTGATTTTTTAATAAGTCAAGCGAAATAATATCCAAGTCTTCATAAAAGCATAAATTATATCTTATATACAGGTGATAGAGCATTGTACACTCTAACTGGCCTCAAATACATTCTATATATCAATTAGTATTCAGCCAGGTAGAAAATATGGCTTACTTATAATTCTTTTTAAATTTGGTTTATCACACCACAAAGTTTTCTGATCTATATAGATTTCTTTTATCTTGTTTGTATCTTTATTTATGAGATTATAAACAACTTATTTCCTCCACAACAAAAGACAATTCATTTTACTGTAGGCCATAAATTGACACTGCAAGTCATTTGGCTGTTTTTAAATTGACACTGCAAGTCATTTGGATGTTTTTTAAATTGACACTGCAAGTCATTTGGCTGTTTTTAAATTGACACTGCAAGTCATTTGGATGTTTTTTAAATTGACACTGCAAGTCATTTGGCTGTTTTTAAATTGACACTGCAAGTCATTTGGATGTTTTTTAAATTGACACTGCAAGTCATTTGGCTGTTTTTAAATTGACACTGCAAGTCATTAGGATGTTTTTAAATTGACACTGCAAGTCATTAGGATGTTTTTAAATTGACACTGCAAGTCATTTGGATGTTTTTAAATTGACACTGCAAGTCATTTGGATGTTTTTAAATTGACACTGCAAGTCATTTGGCTGTTTTTAAATTGACACTGCAAGTCATTTGGATGTTTTTAAATTGACACTGCAAGTCATTTGGCTGTTTTTAAATTGACACTGCAAGTCATTTGGATGTTTTTAAATTGACACTGCAAGTCATTTGGCTGTTTTTAAATTGACACTGCAAGTCATTTGGATGTTTTTTAAATTGACACTGCAAGTCATTTGGATGTTTTTAAATTGACACTGCAAGTCAACATTTTGCATTGTATAGATTTTTTTTCTAGTAAACTTTCAGTATATATCTAAAGATATTATATGATTACACAAGATAATACCAGGCCAGGCCTATTCAGTATTCAGGATCTAATCTTGATGCTCATAGCAAATGTATGGCCTAAATTGTTACCCTTTTGTAATAAAGATATTATCATTAATATCAGCAATACAGGACTGAAATCTGGCTGAACCTACAGAGTTTTGATCAGATTTAATGCTGTACTTCTATGAGAAAAAAAAGAGCCAAAGCATCAGCCCTGATTGGAATGTATAGAATCTATTCTGTTTCTCAACCTTTGTGACAACCAAAACTGTTGCTTCAAGAAAATAAATTATAATTACCTTGGAATGTACAGAATCCTCTCTGCCACCACAAAACCAACTCTGATGAAGAAATTGCTTGCAGGAATAAATGGAATGGTGAGGAAGATCAGTGATAATACTGGAATATTCTTGGAACATCCCTTAAAATAAAATATTGAAAAAAGGTTAAATTTCTTTTTTCACTCTAAATTCCAAAATTTGAAAATTGAACTCTAGTACATTTTGAAGATTATTTATATTCAAAACCCAAATAAACCTCTGTTAATGGCGAACAATGTAATTTAAGAATATAACTTACTTTATTTCGGAAGATTTTAAGAGACTTTATAATGATACTGATGAAGGCTATATAGAATACCAGGGTGGCGAGGTTTCTGCTATCTGATATATCTTGAACTAACGGTATACTACCTAGTTGCCAATCATAACATAGTGTTATAGGTGATATTAATAACCAAATATTAAATACTAATAAATAGTTATAAGTCAATATCCTGAAATATAAATCAATATATTTATAACTAATACTTAATATATATCAATATCAAACATAAACTTAGACATCTGCAAAATTCAAAAAGTAATCAAATATTCAAATATTTTAATAAGGGTTTACACTACACTGAGTTATATCATATAGTATTGTATATATGTTGTATGTTAAATACAGAAAAGTATTTAATTGATACATATTTGTTATTAAGCTTGTATCAATCTAAAGGCATGCTTCATAGAAGTGGGCATATGCTTAGACGTCAAATTAGAAAAATTCAATTATAGAACAGGATTTTGAACTTGATTGGCCTGCAAGAGTCTCATGACCTTGAAAAAGTCATTATTTAATTTGACACCACTGTAAAAACACACAAATCAATGTAGGAAGGATCATCATAAAAAAGAACATAGTTGGATGAAACTGAGTTATCTTGGTATCCATATTTGCAACTTATGTTATTAGAACAAAACAAGAACCACATTATATAAGTCTAATAAAACAAGACTACCTTGTCAAAAGACTGGAAGAAAAGGAAGCCGGATTGTCTTGATCTAAAAATATAGGAACTTGCCATCCATTGATAAAACATCGTATAAGAAATATTGATATAAACTGAAAATAGAAAATTATTTATTTGACTTTAACTCTATTTAATTAAAATGCAAAAATTTTTTTTTCGTGTCATTTCTGTGGTTGACTGTATTTAAATAAGATTGATTTTAATTGAATAATAAATTAATTAATCAATTTAACTTGTTGCCTATGTTTCTTTATTTATTATTGGTATCCATTATATTCCTGATGACGATGTCAGAACCACATTGAAACATTGAAACATAAAGTAATAAATATTCAGTATATATCCATAATAATTGTCTTATTTATCTAAAACTTCTAATATGCCATTAGGATTATTAATCAATTTTGGATTATTTAAAGAACATGAATTGGGGTTGCTGTGTGAACTGCAGACAACTAAAATAATCTGCCTATACTGAAGTAGTAAAATTGAAACTATTGCTTGTCAAGATCAATTTCAAAATGTTTGGCCAAGGCCAAGCCCAAGCTGTCCTGTTGTTATCTTTGTTAAAAATGGTAGTTTCTTTTCTTCTTTAAACTTTGTATAACTTTGTTTGACAAGAAATAATCTATCACTCAGTTAAAAGTTGTAAAAATAACAAAACCATTATACACTCAAGAAATATAAAAAAAATTTGGGCGTGTGCATCACGTAGGCGTGCATATCTTTACTTAATTGATATCAATTCATATTCTGTGCCCACTTAAAAGTGCAAACATTGTAATACAAATTTTTAACAATTTTGTTTTTTCAAATATGAAATCAAACTTTGCTTTATGCAAAAAATTCAAACTTTAAAAAATGATTTCATAAAGTTCAACTTTCTCTAAGCAATTTAAATCATTTGAACTGTGTAAATGAGTAGGCTGAGGGCACTATTTAAATCTAGATTAGTAGAATGGTATACAGGTTAATGCTCCATGTTTCTATTCAATTTCTCTATTATAATATTATACTATTCAAATAGCTCTTATATAAACCACAGCACAATATGCAAACAACATAGGAGATAAAAGGCAACCCTGACAAATATACATTAAATAGTTGTTTGTAATGTATCTTATATATAACTGATTTAAAAAAACAAGTTTTGTCGGCTTTCATGACCAATTCATTTCAATATAGATAATGTCACAGACAAAAGGTTGTACCTATTTTATTCATTAAATTTTTTTTTTTCTGTTTAAGTGCTGACCTCTGCATACGCTTTATCTATTTCAATAGTTCAAAGGAAAATAACTATGACTAAAGGCTTAATTGCAATATAAAATAACATTCAAAAACTTTATATTTTTTTAAGGTTAAATGTAATGTTAAAAATAATGGGAGACTCGCACAGCTGAAAAATTCTAAAAGCTTTAAAATATACATAGATTGGATAAAGGTACAATTGATATTTTAGACAATGATATTTGATTTAAAAAAAATCAAATAGGATTCTAAGATTCTGCTATTTCATCCACATATCCACATTGTCCCACTCACAAAAAGTTTTGAATTGAATAGCCAAATTCTGCTGTAATTTTGTTGAATAGTATAATATTATAATAAAGAAATTGAATAGAAACATGGAGCATTAACCTGTATACTAATATTAATATAGATTTAAATAGTGCTCTCTGCCTACTCATTTACACAGTTCAAATGATTTAAAAAAATGTTGTTTAGCTCCTGAATGATATAATATAAACTTACTGAGAATGCTAGTAAGGTTACTCTGATTATCAATGGTTTACATTGAATTATGCTGACTTCTCTACTTATCCATCTGTAATAAAAAAATAAAACAAATGTTGATACTGGTATAAAGACAAACAGCAAACAATATCTTTAAATCTTTTTCAGATTTGGAGAAAGACAAATTCAAGAGAATACCAAATGTTCAAACAGTTCAAAAATTCAACAAATAGCTATCTTGAGTTGCAGTCAATAACAAAAAATCTCCATATAGAGATTATCAACTTTTGTAAAGTTCAACGTCTGCAACAGTATTTTCTGCCCCATGAGTCCCTTGTAAAGACTGGAAATCCACCCTTTCTAAAGTCTAAAACCACTATACAAACCACTAAAGACATGTACCAATCTGCAATTGTTTGTTTCAATTAAGATTCCCTTCCCAAAAGTTCAATAACATTTAGGTACTGTCATTACTCAGAGCCTTACCTATTGACACCATTTCTGGATAAAATCAAGCAATCAATGGCAGCAGATACAACAAGAACCATAACTCCATGTTCCTTACATAATGTAGAGATGATAGCCAATGATATGCTGAGAGTAAAATAGCACCAGTTGATAGTTGAGGGTATGAAGACATCTTCATCAGGGTGTATGACTTCTATACTCCTACAAACAAAGGAAAAATTCATTTCAATCAGTCGTCCCCATTTCTTAATCACATATATATCTAGGTCCAAAAATGAAACTTAAATGTTCTTGACATCCCAAAATATGTATGAAATAAATAGAAATATATCTTGAACATGTGTTACTGAGTGAAGAATAATAAATCATTCTCTTTGCTTTAGAGCAAGTAGTTTTCTAAAACTGTCAGATCTGTTTTCTTGTGTAGAGATTGTTTTGTCTCAAGTGAGTGGAATTATTTAAGGAGAAATAGTTTAATCACCCATTTGAGAAAGGTGTGTATTATATTCACAATTATACAGTAAACAGATTGCACAGAAAAAGATTTAGAAAAAGATAACCTTGGTAATTGTTTTTCAACATTCACTACATTATAAAAAGGTGTGATGGGACTTGGTTTGACTGATCTGATAAACATTGTAATATGTACACTAATTATGTACATTAACATAACAATAGATAACTTATAGAATACTAATCATCTATTTTGGGGCTTGACCATCGATCATTCTCATTGTCAAAACATCACTTTGTCATTCTAGTGAATACTAACAAGTTTTTTCTTATCTTAAAGTAGGATTGCCTAAAGCCAAATGATTCATATTTTGTTTTTTTGCACTACATCAATCAATAGTATGATTTTACTAATCAGGAAACCTATCCAGATACAGTTAACAATTGATCAAATAAGAAAAAATAATTTCTCCAATATTAAATCTAGTCTATTTTTTCCCATCCTTATGCCAACAATATAAAAAATACAAGAAAAAAAAATAGCTTAAAAAAGTTTCAGAAATGAGCAAATTAGTCCATAATTTTCATCCTTTTTATTTTTTTGATCAGATATTTTCGTACAAATTTTCAATGAATTATTCCTCCAGCTTTGCTTCCTGAGAATTCTAGACTATCGTGCTTTAATCCTCAGTAATAATAATAATAATCTATTTTCTTAGTTTTTGAGATGTTGACAATAAAGTTCTGGACAGACATTGTTAACCTGTCATGCTGGTTGTGATTAGAAAATGATTTATCAAAATATAAACAATGGCTGACAAGGACAATGTTTTCGTGAATTGAAAATAAATCTCAATATCACTGGCCTTGGTCTTGGTAACAAAACATTTTTTTTTTTTTTGAAGAAAATCTGTAACAATGGACAATCATTAACCAATGTTTGAAAACACAGATATCCAGGTCTGTAAACACTTAACCTCTGTTCACAAACTTTAGCCTATGAGGTTTTAGGGATAATATCAAATTTGTAAATGTAAAACTAGTAAATAATATTTCATTATTTCACCCAGGAGAGCATATATTTAAAAAAGATTAAAAGATTGCCAGGGGAGGGGCCCCAAACTCACTAAAGTTCACAGCGCCCCCACTCCTCTAGTTGAGCCACTGATGGTTAATCGTTAGGGTGGTCACAATTCAACAAAAGGCAAAGGGTTAAAGTAGTGTTAAAATGAAAGTTCATAAAACTGAAAAATTTATTTACCTGATGTAAAATATGATTGAAAGAAGAAAGAAAACGGCAGCTAAAATATCAGCTCTTCCCACAATTCCAGATACCTGAAGATATAATATAAACATCAGTTTTAATTCTATTGTTTTAAAAGCTTCTATGTACAACAGAGTCATAAATTAGTTTAAGAGATTGTAAAGAGGTTTTCTAAATCTTTAAAGTGTATCTGGGACACTGATGGCATCAATTTGCACCATTCCAATCTTCAATCAGACGTCTGTGGTTGCTGTAAATCCACGAAAAATTAAGTGTTTGATGACTACTATGCTTGTACCACATAAAACCCTACACAATAAGTGACATCATCAAACACTTGGTTTTAATAGAATTACAGGAGCCACAGATGTCTGATTGGAAATTGGAATGGTGCAAATTGACGCTATTAGTGTCACCGATATTCATAACAAAATTAGAAAACTACTTTACAATCCCTTTAAATTGCTATAATACATTATTTTCTGACAAATATGTTACAATTGCAAAATTTCAGTTCTGTTCACTTTTGATTTTATGCATACTGGAAAGTTCTCGTGTATTTGTTATATTTCACTATTTGTCTTATGGGAGAGTAAGCTGTTATAATCCTTACACCTCCTAGAAAGTATATATCATTAAGAGCTGGCCCACCTGCACAAATAATAAATATACCTATTCAAGTGATAATTGACTGCAATTTGCACATTTAAGAGGCATGTTTCAAATCGAAATTATTCAAAACTGTTTTGAGATATTTTCAGTTCTCGAGCCTCACCTCTCTCTCTTTTGATTTTCTAACTCTGTTATTCTCAGCTTTTATAAAAGGCTTTATTTGCAAGACAGATATGATTGAAATTACTGATACCTAACTGTGCTTTGGTGTGATATTTTTCCACACTCATAATTTTAATATACAGTAGGCCTATCTAAAACTGTCATTTAATAATCAGTCAATATACACTGATAAACCCACTGTTAAACTTTATAATTCTCTTAGTCCGTTTTCTATACAGAGTGGACCATGCATGACCAGTACTGTATTCTACTATAACTGTACAGTATTCAAGTAAATCGCAGGGCATTATGATATTTCAACAGATTTCAACAGATTTGTTTCTTTTAGATAATTTTACTGTCAACAAAAAAGCCATCTTTATGAATGAACTATACTAGTGCAGTTAACTAGATTTTAATAATAATGAAATGTCACAGTGATTTTCAAGAAAAAGATTAGAAAGAGATAAAATCTTTCCAGTCCAATATTTTTTGGAAAGTTTTGACAGATTTATGGGGGGAAATTAGTAAGATTTTCATGGTCGATTTGTAACAAGTTTTTTTTAGATTTTTGTACAAAACAGGAAACATTTTTCGGATTGAATATATTAAAGATGCAATTTTCAGGGAAATGTTCAACTTTCAATAAACTTGCTTGAAGACTTTTTTAGCAAGTGCAGATATTTCAAGATCTATTGGCAATATTGATCATTGTACTTTATATTATAAGACTCAAATGTTTAAATCGTAAAGAAGAACTGCCAAATTCCAGATATTTCTAATTCTTCAAAGACAAGAGCAGTAACTCTCTATCTATTTTTTGCAACTCTCTCAAATTTGAACTTGAATATCAAATAGTGACAGATCAAGTATAATCTTTTGACTAAAAAAAATTGTAAAGAAACAGGCCTGAAGTTAAAAAGAATAGCCCAAACCTTCAATTTCTGACAAATCACAAAATGAATAGCGACAGGGCCAGAATTATTGACACAGAGTCCCCAATTAATCAAACAGTTAACAATATCTATCAGCAGGTTATTGTTAGGCTCTGTTGACAATGTCCACTTCTTTATTTACATTGGACAATGGTCACAGACTGACCAGCAAATGTTGACCACTGAGCAATAAACAACATTGAAAACATTTCTTAAAGGGACAGGTTTGCCATTTTTCTATTTCTATATATTTTCTATATATGGCAAGAGTCTGAAGAAAAGAGTTGTCACATTAACTTTCAAACGAGGATAATTCTCCATACACATGGATTTGAAGGCTCAAATTTTGACAGTGAGCTGTTAACACCATTACTGATTTGCTTAGCTAAAAAATTCTCGTTTCTGAGACTAAGCTACCATTGGACAAACAAATGGCAAACCTGTCCCTTTAAAATATGTAAATGAACAAGCCTTATCATGCTGACCAAGCCCTTTCAAGGCTCATGCTGATAAATTGTAACTGGCAGACCTTTTTTCAACTTATATTATTTGACTATAACTTGACCTATTCATGGCTTAACTACGTCTTTTATCTTGTCAATTTGAAATTCAATGGAAATTATTTGGATAACTGCATACATTTATCATGGAGGTCAAATGTTTCCCCTAGTCTGAAACTAGCTATTTCTATCAAGTACTGATAGCGATTTTAACAGAGGTCCATCAGCAACTAGGTTATACTAAATTTGGCCTCTTCTTTTTTTACAGAGATTGACCAGATTAAAGTCACAAACAGTCAAAGAATAAATGACATAATTAGGGTAAAGGTTAAAATGGTCAATTTATATTTTTTCAAATTTTTTAGATCAATATGGTATTCTAATACTCACCGCCTCTGTATGGATAGGATGAACAGCAAATATAACAGCAGAGTAGAAGGTACAACTGTTAGAAATATGGAATATTTGGCGTAGAATGTAGATAAATAATGCAGTTACCAGACAATGTAAGGCCACATTGATAATATGGAAAGTAAAAGGCTTCCCATCACTTAATGCATAGTTCAATCTGAAACGAAAAGAAATATGAAATTCAATTTTTTGTTTTGACTATAAAAGACAAGTAATGTAGTGTGCAATTAGAGAAAATTTTCTTAATTATTACCAGCCTTAGATGACCTTTTCTTTTGCAATTTCCTGTTGCAAAAGAATATCAAATGATATTTTATTAGATTTGAAAAGATCCAACCAAAAAACCAATCAATCAAATTAAAGTTGTATTCCTGTTATTTCCTGTTGCAAAAGAATATCAAATGATATTTTATTAGATTTGAAAAGATCCAACCAAAAAACCAATCAATCAAATTAAAGTTGTAGATATTTTTTTCATTTCCTTTCCTCACTTCAGATCTTAAGACATTTTAAGAAAGATTTGTTCCTTTCAGTCAATTCAAGCAATGAAATGTTCTGAGCTAAACTTGTTGGGAATTCTTGGATGTTCACGTGAACTAGCTACGGAAATAGAACGTTTAAATTACAATTTGCAAATTGGAAGTTTTTATCAGACATGACTGGCAACAATAACAAAGTCAACACTCCTTAATAGTGTCTTAAAGTCTTTAAATGGCATTTAGCAATTGTGAGTACGATATATAGACACAGCTTTATGGAACAACAATTAATGTATGTATAGTTTGCCCATCACTTCTTAACATTATGTGCCTGAGGACGATGGGGAAAACACGTCGAAACGTTGCATAAAACTTTAACCAGTGATTGTTGTTCCATAAAGCTGTGTCTATGTACTCCTTAACTGTACTTGCTTGAGTATAACAATTTGGTCCCATATGTTTCATCTAAGTATAATGATTTTGATATAAGAGATCAGAAAATCTATTTATTTCAAGGTCAATAATATCACATCTAGACACCTGTGACAAGTTATATACTAGTTTCAATGTAAGTCAGGGTTTTCTGTATACAGAAACAACAGTAAAAATTATCAAACATAATAAATAGAATTCTAGAACCATTGAACATCAGAAACTCAGTTCACACCAAACTTTTAAAATTGAATTTGATTTTGGTGAAGGATTAAGTGTTTTCATTAAAGGGACAGATGTGCCATTTCTTTGGACCTATCAAACTTTAGTCTCAGAAACGGTAATTTTTTTGCTTAACCAATATATCCTTTGATATATAGAAAAGACATATGTAGAAAATGGCGCATCTGTCCCTTTAATGTTATCATTTATCACTTATGATGAGATCATAACAGAAAATAAATGATAAAATATCAACTCAAATAGATAAAACTTGACATTCACTTTCCCTTTTCTGGATTTTATCTTAAAAGTTTGGGGAAATACCCAACATAGATACCAAAACAAAAATATACAAATATTCATAACACAATTACAGTTTATATCCTTGTCTTCAAATAACATAATGGAGTATTGCTTTTACAAAACTTGGTCCTAAAAATAAATCTAAATTTAAAAGTGGCTCCACCCATTCCATCCATCCGTTCCCCTCCCCCTCCATCACTCCCAGCTTAATTTTCATCTATGGTCACTATAATCGCAAAGTTGCTATTGATATATAACTACATGTGAGTTAGATTGAGTTGAATTGCAAGAACAATGCTATCCGGGTCTCCCATACACATTAATATGTTAGAAAAACCCCTTTAACTTTTCTATACCTACATGACAATGGATATTGTATTTATTGTAAATATGCATCCATGGGGGAGATAAATAAAGTGTATACAGGTGTCATATTATATGAGACAAGCACATGACTTCAATCTTTCATACACGGTTGTTTTCATCAAGCAATTTTTAAAAAAACTATCTGAATAGATATAGTTATCTTATATCTCCCCCACTTACAGTCGACTTAGCTGAATATTTCCAACTAAAAAACACCCTTAAAATTCAAGCTGGTGAAATGTAGGTATTGGAATTTGAAATAATTGATAAGGCTCAATTTTCCAGTACGAAATATAGCTGATGATGAGAAGTGTAGATTCTGTCTTGCTGCTTACAAATTTGTACATTGAACATGCTCAATAATTCTTAAGCAACATTTAGGGGCAGTGATCATATTAAATAACACAATAATATGGTTGTATTTTTCTTGATGACAATGTAAATTGTTGAAATGTTGTGTACAATAAAACTCAGGAGTAATTTACCATACAAACTGATGATGACAATGTAAAGTGTTGAAACATTGTGTACAATAAAGCTCAAAGTAGTGATAAAATTGTTATTTAAAGCCATATTATCAAGATGGTCAATTTGAAGATAATATATTCATAATCACAATCTAACTATTACTTTCATTATACAGTAAACAAATAATCATATCATATCACATATAATAATATTGATATTTAATCAATACCTTTAATATCTTTATACCCTAATATATCTATATCAATATCAAAGGTAAAAGACATTATTCAGGCTTCAGCTATATCCAGTGAATCTCTGAGTAACATGTTTCAGGGTCTGTTTTAATATTTCTATATATTAGGTATAATAATATTGATATTTAATCAACACCTTATCATTATTACCCTGATATATCATATCCATATCAAAGGGAAAAGACCTTATTCATGCTTCAGCTATATCCAGTGAATCTCTGAGTAACATGTTTCAGGTTCTGTTTTAATATTTCTATATATCACATATAATAATATTGATATTTAATCAACACCTTATTATTATTACCCTCATATCTATATCAAAGGGAAAAGACCTTATTCAGGCTTCAGCTATATCCAGTGAATCTCTGAGTAACATGTTTCAGGGTCTGTTTTAATATTTCTATATATCAGGTATAATAATATTGATATTTAATCAACAGCTTTAATATCTTTATCATTATTACCCTGATATATTATATATATCAAAGAGAACACCAGCTCTGGGTGACCAGGGCTAGATAGAAGAATAAAATTCTTATATAGTCATCTGTATCATCATTATTGTAGTTATCTAAAGATATGTTTTACCAGCAGATAAAATTTACTGTTATGTACCCAGGATGCCTAATGCCTGGGACTCCTACATTTGAGCAAAAAATGTACGAAGCAATTGTAGAAGTTGGATCTAATTTGAAAGGGACATTGATAGGTGAAATCATGCTTTATCAAATTGTAAAGCAAATATCAGTATATCTCTTTAAAATTCAAAGATAAGAGAAGAGGGGAGGGGGCTCAAAAAGAACAGTGATTTTGAATTCTGTGGCAACAATTAGTTGAGCATTATTCAGTGACTCCCAATTTCAATTATCTAGATGTTACCTATACAATTTGTAATAATGCAATTTTGAATTTGAATTAATGAGAAGCAGGTTGTATATAGAGCATGTAAGACTCATTTTTATGCAGATATCAATATTTGAGTCTATAAAAAGGGAGATTTCTTTGATAGTTTATTTCTATCAAGTTTAACTAACTCTTTAGTTGTGAGTCAGTGAGTTGTATAATTTATTCAATGAAGATAAAGAATAGAATATTTGTCATTAAAAATAATGTGTTTTTTTTTTTGACAGTAAGACCATTAGACTTAAGTTATTATTGATAATAATATATGGGTTTATAAATTGTTTACAATTTTATCAATTTTATAGAAATATTTTTCCAAATTTACCCACAAACATGCTTGGAAAATTCTTCAGAAGACTTGATACTGGAGTATAAGTATAAGAATTACTGTATCCAGATTATGCTAAGCGTTTTAAAGCTACTGCAAGAGTCTTTAAAGGAACACTGTGTGTAAACCTATGCTAGTGCCTTCTGATAGTAAAGGTGTGAAAAGACGTACAGTGTGGTGTACCTTGTCCAGACTGGTACCTTGTGTGTTCACTTTTTTCTACCATATTGATAATCCTGCATTGTACATCGCATTGGTCACCGAACATTGTCTTTTCTCAGCTTTACCCATTACCCAGCCACCCTTATCACTACGAATTAACAAAATTTCGTAACTACGCAACAGAATCTAATAAATCCATAAAACTAAATATTTATTGAAAAAACATTTATAATTTGACACCAGGTAAGTCCACTGATGAATATATTCTATTGATGACTAAGTTTGAAAATTTAAATTCAATGTTCACTCTAACAGGTTGAATTCATTCAACTGTCTACAACTGAATGATGTTAAATTAACAGGGATTCCGTAGAATTACGGCATTGAGACAAATAAGTAAGTGCCAACTCTTCAAGAACACCTGTTGTTTCTCTACAACTAAATGAACTTGTTTAAAAAAACAAGATTCTGAAGAATTACAGTATTGAGACTATAATAACATTCGTAATATTCTTTAAATTTCCAAAACCATTTGTCATTTGAATGTTCCACAATCACCTGAAAGTCTGTACTTACTTTCAAGTTTTCAAATCTTTTTTTTATCAATTCAAAGTAAAACTTTTCCTGTCAACAATAAGCTTTCCAAGAAAAGTTCTAAAATTATGAACTTTTCTCAAATTCTTAACCCAATATCAGCTAAAAGTAAAAGAAAAATTAAGAGATTTACCTGAATGAAAGAGTAGTAATAGGTCTGTATGATTTATGACTGGTTCTGTCCTGAATAAATTTTCCCCAAAAATCATTTTTCCACAATTCTGAAATAGGGGATTTCCCTGTTACATCAGGATTATTTTTTATAGCAAAAATATCATCATGTACAAAATCTCCATTCATTGAGTTGATATAGCATAATATACCCAATATGACTGGTAATGTATACAATGTAACACTTCCCCACTTGATAACTGAACTCTTTTCATGTTTTTTGTTCAAATTCGGCGATTTTGCAATATTGTTGTTCACTTCCATAACGAGTGTTCAGTCGCATATGAACTGTCATTCCAATAATGAACTGTTATCAACCAGGAGTCGTAATAAAGTTGAGTTTACTTCCAGTTAAAATATATAAACACTCCATCATAGAACATGTCAACTTCTTCATTCATAACTCACGGGGTACAGACTCTATTATCCAGCCCCACTGTTTCTACAAACAAACAGACGAAGACTGGGTGTCAGAGACTAAGAGGATCAACCGTCAATCATTGTCACATGACCTGTCAACCTAAAAATGGCCGCCCCCAGTAAACACAGTATAGCTTCAGCTTGTGCAAATGGAGATTTGTCGGTAATTTCAAACCTGTTTAAATTTATTTCCATATAAGATTGTAGCCTAAAGGGCCAACAACAAAATTAGCCATGTTCACCATTCAATACCATATCAAATTGGCTAGTTGTTGAATGCTACTCATTTACCTATAGTGTGCTATCATTGGTTTAGCAATGTGAAGGGGTGGGCTATCCATGGATATTGAACTATAGGCCTATATCAAGATAAGGGTATATATATTTATCAGTAAAAAAATGAAATAAAAAAGTTTAAAAAAAGATCCATTCATTATGGTGTTGAGCAAGTGCAAATAACTATAACTATATCCAACAAACACTTTTGAATTTAGTATACATGTACTTTTAGAATTAAAGTATCTTTTGCTATGGATGGCTGAAATGGAGCTTTATATAGATGACTGAATCTCTTATATCCAATTTATAGTTGTTAAGAGGGTTTAACACTGGTATCATCAATTTGCACCATACCAATTTTCAGTCAGAGGTCTGTGGTTCCTGCACTTCCAAAAGTGTTTGATGATGTCACTTATCGCAAAATATGCTTGTTTCATAAGTCCCTTTGTGATTAGTGCGTCATAGAACACTTAGTTTTTAGTAGAATTTGAGAAACCACAGACGTCTCATTGAAAATTGGAATGGTGCAAATTGATGCTATCAGTGTCCCTGATACACATAAAATTTCAAGAAAACTTCTTTCGTATCATTTTAAGTTTCTTGGGGTGTCTACTATTAATGTATGTCCACCCTTCCAGTATACTTTCATAAGCAATATTTAAAGTGGCTCTTTGCCAACTGCCACTAAAAAGAAGTTCACAAGGCCAATAATTATGAACTATACAACAATTAAAGGGACAGATGCAGCGTTTCCGAAAGTAAATCATACCTAGGTCTGAGAAACGTGAATTATTCCAGTAAACTAATCAGTAATTAGTTGTCTTTTCTTCATACACTGCCATATTCAGAAAATACATCTATAGAAATAGGAAAAGAAATTCCTAGTTTGAGATATTTTTGAAGGAATTCTGCGATTTTCATACATTTTTAGTAATTCTGAAGACTATTTTCATTCCTACAAGACTCAAATCAATCCCCCAAAATTGTGCAACTGTCCCTTTAAAGTGGCTTTTTGCCAACTGTCACTAATAAGGAAGTTCATAATTATGCCTTTTGGAATGTAAAATTGTACTGGAAGAAAGAAAAATCCTTACAAATCTTATTTTAAACTCTCTTCAGTGCATGAAGGACATTGACTGTTTAAAAAGAGAATTTTTCTGAATTAAAGACCACAACAATGGCATTAACTTTTATGTATTGATAAAATTAAAGACTATAACAATAAGATTAAAGACAGGAACAATGGCATTAGATTAAAATTAATATATCTTATTTAGGAAATATTATATTGATTGAACATTTGCCAAGTTAGTTGAATATAGCAGATAAATTATATTGCTTTGAAAGGTATTTTATAAGTAAATTTTGTGGGAATTGACAATGATAAATTCTCAAAGCTTAGTAATCCTTAAAAACTTCTAGCTGTTATTTTATGGGATCTGTAAGATTTGTGTCTTTAGCTTTGAAAAATATTAAACAGTATTGTAAGGAGGTTTTGTAAAATTTGTATGTGTATCTGGACACTGATAGTATTAATTTGCAATGAATGTCTGAGGTTCATACAATTTCATGCAAACTCTGTGTTTTATGACGTAGGTTTTTGCAGTTCTAAGCAGAAAAATGGAATGATGTAAATGGAAACCAAAAATGGCTCAATTTACATAAAAAAAAAAAACACGCTAGAAACCTCTTTACAACCCCTTTAAGTGATAATTCATCCTCCTCCTTAAATGCCTGTAATTAAACTTAATTGTAATATACTCAATGTATGTATTATGTATGAATTTTAAATGTGAAATGTTTTGATTTTGAATGTTATTCAGGGTGTAAAATATCTAGTAAAACAAGGTGAAGATATAAATCAAAGATCTAATGATGGCATGACACCTTTAAGTATTGCAGCTTTCTGGGGCTATGCTGATATAGTGGAATATTTATTAGATATTGGGTAATTATCAATATAAATTTGTATATTATAGTCTTCATCAGCCCAATAAAGGTAGAGTCTCTCAGTATTTTCGGTACTTGTAGTACTATGAAAGGTGCAGTAAAGAAAAAAAGTGAAAATTACACATTTAGAAAATGTCTTATCTATTGATCTTCTAATTATTCATATTGTACATTGTACATATCATTTGATATCAACAACAGTGCTCTTTGAAGAGAGCTTAGAATTGAAAGAGTTATCTCCCATTAGTCTTCAGAATGAACTTTCTCAATTATACACAGCAATATTATTTTTCCGCTTCGATTTGAAATCTGTCAAAGAAAAGTAGGACTTAAAAACTGCATTTCATTATGTAACAAAAATGAAAGAGTTATCTCCCATTAGTCTTCAGATTTATTTTGTTTCTACAGAGCAGAAATCAATAAATGTAATACTGGTAATAATTGGACACCATTACACTGTGCAGCTTTTCAAGGTCATGGCAAGGTGATCATGTATTTAATGAAACATGGACCTGATTTATATATCAAAGATAAACTGGGAAGGTACGTCACTGATCAAACTACAAACCAGCTGTTCTCATGAAATTTTATAGTAGGAACATTAATTGCATGAGATAACTCCTTTCAATTAGACAAATTCTATATGTTACAGGGTTCAGTTTCTTAGATGTTATCACACTCAGGTCCAAATCTATGTTATCAACCCTGTTTCTAATGATGAACTGTCTGTATTTGGTACAGGGTCAAACATGAGGTCTCCCAGCATCATTTAAATAATTGCTCTCAATTAATAATATAATATGTTGTTATCATTTCAGAACACCTGTAGATTTTGCTTCAGCCTTGGACTCAGTATGGTCATTCTTTGAAGGTATATTTACAATTATTCAGGACAATTCCAAATATACGGAGTAGTTCATTTCATTTTGAGGATAGAATAAGTTATGATATAAGATATATAAGTTAATTATTGGAATTACACTAGTATGATATTGTGTTTCTTTTCCACTAAAGTGCCTGTAAAGAGAATGGACTGCTTGTGTAAATGGTCCCACATCTTTCTCAATGTCAACTCCATTAACTGATTGTCATCAATCATTAGTCACTTTCACAAAGAAAAGTGTCTCAGATCAGACAGAGCTCTTAATAGCTTGATATTGTGAAGATGATTGTCCTTGGATGTCCACAAATATAGTCCATACAACTGCAAGCAATGATATTTGTTATATTCATATCTTAAAAAATGATATTAACTTTTCTTGAAAGTGCTTCTTTTACAATAGTTTCAGGATGCAAGAGAACTCCAAAATCTGAATTGATTAAGTTGGATATTGTAAAGAAAGTTTCACAATATGATTCTACTATAACACAGTCACCTTCAGAACGAGTTCATTTCTCACGTCCAGGCTCTGCCTATATCATCAAGACACAAACCACATTTCAAGATCATAATATGGTAAGGCTGAAGGTTGTAAATTTGTCAAAGATATTCCAGTATAAATTGAGAGATATATAGCACCCATCTTCACAATGTCAAGCTATTATAAACTTGACTGCAATAGCCACCTTTCTTGTATCAATGCAGCGTCTAGCTCAGGTGTATGTTAGCAAACACAGGAAATCAGTGTCCTCGACAGGATGTCGGTAAAAAATAAGATGTAATGGTTACAGTGAGTCTGTCGAGGGCACTGGCTTACAACCTAATCACATCGCTGTATTCTGTGAAACAAGATCACCCTTGCACACTAATGTTTGATCAAAAGGCATAGGCCAAACCATCCATCCTGTGACACAAGCTCAGGCAGTGATTTGAAGCAAAAAAAAAGGGATTCAAAAAAGCACCTTTTGTACAAGTCAAACCATGGCATCAAGTTGAGTTCCAAACACAAATACAGATGAAAAGCCTGTGTGAAACATTAACACAAATTCCTGTATGATTCTTGGTTCTTGCCTATACTGTTTGATAACCTAAATCTAGCCAGTTGGATTTTTGACAAGATTTCAACACATTTTTTCAGGTTACAGCTGCAATGACTGGTGATGTATTAGCTGGTATACCAGAAGACAATTTCACACCACCATCTTATCAATATCAGCCTGGTTTATCAGTTTTAAATAATTAATACCCTTTCTTGTGGAGTGTGGTAATATTGGAGACAATATTATTTAGTTTGATCACGGAAAATAAAGGATATGGAACTTGGTCTATCAATAATAATTTATCATCAATATGTTAACCAAATCTTCCCTTGCGTACGATATATAAATACACCTTCCATACGAAACTTCGCATCTTGCCTATCTTCGTATAGTCGCAGATTGTAGAATTTCTCTATTGTTCAGGATGTACACCTTCTTGTTATTGTGACAAAATTGTCAAATCACAGACAATTCCTTTAGATACTGACTTTCTGTGTCTGTGAATATAGCATAATAATGGGATGGGATTTGAATGGAATATGCATTCAGGGTTGTTCAGTTAGGAAATGAAGAATATTATTTTGTACTAATATAATTTTGTACTATATTTATGACAAAATAATATAAATTGGTTGTGTTATTTATTATTTAATACCTATCTTCATTAGCCCACATGGTCCAGAAAAGTAGGACATAAAACTAGATTCACTTCATTATTTTAAATATTGAATAATTTGTACACAAGTTCATGCACAAAATACTGTGTATTGGTAATGATCATTGCCATGCTTCAATTGCTTTATTTAGATAATGATCACTGAATTTGCATCAAATACTGTATATCGATAATGATCACTGAATTTGCATCAAATACTGTATATCAATAATGATCATTGCAAATGCATCAAATACTGTATATTGTTAATGATTACTGAATATGCATCAAATTCTATATATTGGTAATGATCATTGGATATGAATCAAATGCTGTATATTGGTAATCATTGCTCATTAATCAAATGCTGTATAAAGGTATTGAGAATTACATGGGCATCAAATGCTGTATATAGGTATTGAGAATTACATGGGCATCAAATGCTGTATATAGGTATTGATCATTACAAGGGCATCAAATTTGGTAATGATCAGTGAACGTGCATCAAATGCTGTATATATGTAATGATTATATCATGTGCATCAATTGCTGTATATAGGTATTGATTATATCACGTGCATCAAATGCTGTATATAGGTAATGATTACAAGGGCATCTAATTTGGTAATGATCATCGCAAGCTCATCAAATGCGGTTTGTGGGTATTGATCTTTAGACATGATCAAATGTATCACAGTAACAAACAGCGTTTTTGGTACGCAAGAATCATACAAGAACTTTTCCAGAATAGGTGGAGGTGGTACATGCAGAGTAAGTCTTCATTCAACACCTTGGATAATCAAATACCATTAAATAGGCCAAGACAGGAATCCCAGAACATTGCCAACATACACGAGACCCCACACCCTCCAGTCAAATTAGTGGGACAAAAATACTATACTATGGAATTATGTTCCAAGTCCTGTACAGGGCTCCAAATTGGTGTACAATCCAATGAAATCTCTGAATAGATGTGTAGGTATTTGTTCAAGATGTACAGTAAGAGTTTGTGGACATGGGTTCACAAAGCTTGTGAATGATTGGAAGTAAAAATAACACATTTGAATTCATGCCATCTTTATTAAAGATTTAATAAATTCTCTGGACAGGTCCCATGGAACTTTTGATGTGTAGAGTTCTCACGTTCTGCCAATTCTTCTTCAAAAGGGAAACCAAAAAGTTAATGGCCAAATTGACATTGGTGTAAACTTCTTCTTGGCTCATGTTGATGTGTCCAATACAGACAGACAAACACAAGACCTGAAAAATGTTCAAAATAAATGTCAAGTCATTCTAAGTACCCATTGAGCTGCTGTGTATTCCCACGGATGAATAAATAATTAGGTGTAATTATCAAAAAGGTTTCATAAGTAGTCTAGTGGCCTTATTCTCGAAAACTAAACGCAAGAAATTTAAAGACTAGCCTATCAAATAAGTTAGAGCATCTGATAAAATTAGTCTTTTCAAACCCTCGATTTTTTTTTTTAATTTTCGAGAATGCCTCACATCCATCCTCAGTGAGCGAAAGGATATCTCATCATGAAGATAATCAGCCTTTTCAGAAAACATCAACGGATGGATACAGACTAGGAACTGACCTCAGAATTTTAATCATATCAACATAGTATCTTCAGGTAATACATGCAACTATGTTTTACATCATTGGTCAATACATATTACAAATTTGGATTCATTATCAAAAATATTTCTCTATGTTGCTCAAAATTTGGCCTTTTACACCCATTAATGCATGGAGCCTTCATCACAAAAGCATTCGATAGAAAATGAAAAGTGACAGTTTTAATCCTAATGAGCAAATAGTTGGAAATATATTTTACCTTTTTCATTTGAAATTTGATGGTTCCCTTTACTTGTTGTACCTTGCTGACAAGGGATTGATTATGGGAGATTGGGGTAGGGAATTTACCAGCCTTGTTTAAACCTGGTCCCAATAATCTGGGAATCTGTTTAATCAGAGTCTCAGAGGCCAGGAAAGCATCGTATCTCTTGGCTGAAATTATAAAAAAAATAATGTTTAGTTTTCTGCATCTTTAAAACCTCATGTAAACAAAAGATAAACTGAGTTAAGGAAACTGAAAGATAGGAAATTTAGTTATTGCCAAACTCAAAGTCGAGATAAGGGCAACAGCAGGTTCTAATCTTGTATAAGGTTTTATAAGAGACTCTTTTAGTATGGACTGTTTTAGTGTTAAAGTCTGTTATTCTTGAAAAAGCAATCATTTCTGATTCTAGCCGAACTACCAGTTAGATACAGAAAATTCTCCGACACTACCAATGCCAAACAAGATTAATTCTATCTTTGACATACCTAATTTCTTAACAAGCTTCTTGTCCTTGTTTAATTTTTTTAGCATATCAGCATCCATGCAAGGCATTTCATTGGCCTTGGCTTGATCACAATGAATCTGATCACCAAGAATGCAAACCTTCATCTTAGGTTTTGGTATATGACGTAACCTAAAACATTAAAAAAAAATCTTATCCTCCTGCACTAACCAAAAGCTCATACAGATTTCTATGCCATTGTTTCAAATTCTGAGGACAATGTAAGCTGTTGTCTGGTCTTAAGATTTATATAACAGACAATTATGTAATTACAGTCTGAAAATGATGACCATCAAATTTACTGTTAATCTTGTGACTCACTTTCCTGCAAAATTTACGCATGCTAAAACTGTGTGCTAAATAAAATAAACCATAGTAAAGTTATTTATAGTTACCAATACCGCAGCTGGGTGAAGACCCAGGACACAAATTGGGCAGGCATTAATCAAGTTAATGCCCTACCTAATTATTTTAAGACCCTAGGATAAGGTCCCGCCAACAAAGTTGACTACCCTGTAGGAAATATTCTTCTTGCAAGAAACCCAAATTTCTGTCAATCTTCTTGCCTTGGTTCTTTCCAACACCACTTATCTTGTTAGATAGCATTGCAACTAAATATGGTGAGGTATTAGTGCAAGGCTTACAAATAATTTTTAACTTGCAAGAAGAATTATCTCAGGGTGAAAAAGAGAAAATGTCCTGGTCGTACTGAATGGTTCCAGAGAAACGCTTGTCCTTCTGTGGATCATAATTCTTCAAACCAATCTGCAATTCAATGGATTCAGTGAACTTTCTCTTTTTGGTCTTGGTGGAAAATTCAAAGATGTTGTTGATGGATTCTCTCAGATTATCTCTGTTGATCTTACTGTAAACAGAAATATATTTTCATATAGAAATGGGCCCAGATTAGTTGATATGCATTTCAAAGATATTCAGCCATTGAACATATTAATATTATCAACGTGGAGTAAATGAAAATCTAAATGAAATATGTAATATCCGACTCGTTATACACCAAAGGATTAATTCAGTGAAGAATCGGACAGTCTGTGAGATTATTGATCAAAATTTGAAGGGAGAAGGCACGTAAAATAGTCAGGATTGCATTGGATTTATAGAGGACTCAGATGTTCACCTCATCTTGCTGGCTGACACGCAACTAAAAGACCGGAAGGAGGAAGGCTATCTCTGACGTCACATGTCATGCGCGAGATATTACGAGAATAAGAAAAGTAGCCATACTGCGGGAACTGTGTCGTTTCTCAGCCAAAACAAACCAAAAGTGAATTAAAAATGGTTTTGGTAAATGATTAATGAGATACAAACCCAATTTAGATAACAGAAAATTGGCAAATATGGTGACTGACTTGAATACACAGGTTGTCTGTGCTGAGGTTAGACAAAAAATGATCATTTTACAGTGTTGTGAAATCAAAACAAACACTCTCTCTCTCATCTGCTCCAACATTTTTCTTCATTCACTTGCAATCATAATCCCATTCACATGATTTTAACCTAATTTGTACATTGAAGAAACTTAAAAGGTTTCAAAATGGATACACTGGTAATGGCAAATATATGGTCTTCTGTTTTCAATGGCAAATAACTAATTGTATTTGTGAAACCAAAACTACAACCAACAGTCACACTTGTTGGTTGGGTAGAAAATTATGTTTAGCTGAAAAAAAAAAATCTTTCCCAATAAGATTTATGTTTAAAGCTACGCAGGAGCGGGGGGCTGGCTCGAAATAGCTTTTAGTCTGAGTTTGGACCTATAGAATCCGAAATGTTTTTATAACATTCATTACATTATTCATTATTTTTTTCAGAAAGGAGGATCTGCTGATGAACCAAAAGTAACATGTATTATCCGGAATATGGTGAACAATCAAGCCACTACCAGGCATACAGTGACGTTACCAGTTTGTATGGGTGTCAGTGAAGCTGCTGCTGAAATATCCAAAATAACAGGATTCGAACCTTCAACTGTTTCTGTTACATATGAACGTCACAATGGAGACAAAATGGAAGAAGTAAGCTACTCTATCCATTTTGAGACAAAATTTGGTAACAGAAGCTAATGTCTATATGAAATTATATTTCTCACGAAGCCGTTATTTCCAGTCTAATTTATTAAAGATGGGTTCCCTCATTTTCATTTATGAAAATCAAAATGCTAATACTTATATAAATAGAAAGTAGAGATGTTCTAATGACTTGGAAAAATACCAGATTGTCTAACATGTCCATAATTAATTCATAATTAGCTAAATTAGAAGAGAATTACCAGCAGAATTCCAATGAGTTACCGATCAAAAAAGGTCAAAAACTTGAATTATATGCAATATAAGAAAATAATGATATGATAAAGAATACATGCTAATTAATTAGAAACACCAATTAATCAAATAGTTTGCTTAATTTGACACTAGAAAATAAGAAAACCCATCTTTAAGCCTGTTTCTGATATGAATTTAGGATATTTAGTGTTTTATTAACAATCTTGATTAGAAAGGTCTATGTTTCTGGGGTTTTTTTTTATGATAATAGACTCATTTGAATATTTAGTGTGGGGTCTTTTATTTGAATTAGGAACCATTTTGTTTTTTTCTTCATAATTTGCTTGAGTGTTCATATTTTGTCCATTTCAGTTAAGATTTGATGTGATGGAAAATCAGCCAATTTCTATGGTTTGTAATTTAGATGCTAAAAGACAAGATTTTTACGTCCTGGAGAAAGAAGGAGTTTCTCCTAAGAAAATTGAGGTAACAATATGATGTTACTTACTTGTACCCCGAAACCAATAATATTGTTGTCTTTTCATAATAAGGTTTTTGGACATTATCATGTTTAAGGGGGGAAGTCAGTGTATCCATGCGAATAATAACAATCTTATGTGCAGTTATTTATTATGGATAACTTCAAGGTATAACTTATCATAATTAGTTAAAATAATAGTTTAGAGACTGGATAAGCAATGCGTTTTTCACGAAAAGTAGGAAGGAGTACTGGAATCAAACTCTTATCACCTGAAAGAGCAAATATATAGATCAATCTATCTATTTAAGCTGATTGTTGGATATGATTTTCTCTGTCTGCTGTGAAACTTGATGTAGTATTTCACTCTGAAAAGTAGTGATGATAGCTGAAATCAAGTCTCAAATCTATCACCTGGAAAAGCTAATGGTTAGATCAGTACATATATATCCCTATTAATTGTTGTTTATGAATCTTTGTATATTTTCAGCCAACAAGTCCTGATTCGTCTCTGGGAGAGGCCTCAGGCTATCAGAGTTCAACATTACCACCCAGCTATTCTGCTACTTGTGATTCCTCTCTAGGACTAGGGTCTTCTTCTTCTACAGACTTTAATTCGTGTTCTTATTCTCAGGCTGTTATGAAATCAGATACAGGTATGATTTCTTTACTTGGTAAATTATTCATTGACTAAGACAATTTTATGGATAGATATCTAAAATATATTAATTACTTTCAAAATTTGAGTGTGTTTCTATTAATTATATACCTGATGACAGTCTGAGAACCATAGAAAGTAATAATTATTCTGGATATCTATCTATTAAATTGTCATCCTTGTTCATCTATAATTTGTGCTGTTAATATGCCATTTCAGTCTTCATTAGCCCACATGGTGCAGAAAAGAAGGTCGTAAAACTTGATAAAGGATAATTCATGATGTGTTCGTTAAGATATCTTAACAGTATTAAATTGAAAAAAAGATAAGAAAGCAAAGACATTTTCTGGCTCCACTACCCAAATAAGATTGATTAGAATTAATAAGAAATTTACAACATAGAACTATATGATATTCATGTGATATATAATTTGTATTGTAGGTTATACAGGGTTAGTTAATCAGGCTATGACATGCTATCTCAACAGTTTATTACAAACATTGTATATGACTCCAGAATTTAGAAACGCTTTATACAGGTTAGTAAAATCTTTAAATATTTAGTTCTGATGCTTGGCCCCTTTCCTCAATAAATCCACGATAAGAATGAAAAGGTGACATTAGGGAATACAAAGTATATTGCGAGATTTTTATTGAAACAGGGCCCTTATATTTCAATATAAGTATGTATCTAGATAAAAGGCATTGCCAACTTCAGTATTCTCTTGAAGATTATTGTCTGCAGTGCCTATATGTAATGATAATATTTACAGGTGGGAATATGATGGAAATGAGGAAGATTCAGTTAAAAATATTCCATATCATTTACAGAGATTGTTCCTCCAGTTACAGGTTAGTAGTGGTCTTTTATAGATGTCTGGCTGAAATTAGAATTGTGCAAATCGATGTTCTCAAGTGTCTTCAAACCACTTAAAAAACACCTCATTACAATCCATTGTAGCCTTGCTGCCCCTCTCTATCTTTATTTACTGAATTAAGTAAAAATAAGGAACCAGTATTACCATTGATACAGCTATCATGTATTTGATGGATTTTGAAAAATTTTAATTTCACAGAGACAGGACAGTATTGTTTGACTTATTTGGATAGTTGGATGGTTATATGTTTAAACGATTGAAATTTTTTATTGCTGTATTATAATTTCAGACTTCTAAGAAAAGATCAGTGGAAACTTTAGATTTAACGAAAAGTTTTGGTTGGGACAGTAGTGAAGGTATGTAACATATTACTTTAGATTGGAGAATATAAAAAGCTGTATTACCTGTGCTATGCAATTTGGTGTAGTGGGTTTGAATCCTCATATATAACAACTTCTGATTCCATATTCAGTGAATTCAAGATAGCTGAATTCTTCCACTAAAGTAAAGGGCATTGGTGTAAAATTTTCAATGGCTAAGTAATCTAGAGAATTTCCCAATATTATTATTTTGCTCATTTCTTCTTCACATGGATTTTGAAATTTAAACCATATTTCTTAATCGCTTCCATTATGATAAATTGTTTATCTAAAAGATGTTGGCACCTTTGTATGGACACTTGATGTTTTGATACTATTTAGCTATAGTTATGTTATATTCTGTATTTTGTGTAGTTTGGCAGCAGCATGATGTACAGGAACTATGTAGAGTTATGTTTGATGCTTTAGAACAGAAATGGAAGAAAACGAAACAAGCCAATCTGATCAATCAACTGTATCAGGGCAAATTAAAAGACTATGTTAAATGTTTAGAGGTAAGTATTATATATCATAGTGTATTTTGCAAGACAAATGAATTTTAAGTATGGTATATCAGAGTGCCTGCTCACATATTTTGAGAGATTCAGAATTAGGAAATAAATTCTGGAAAAATTTAGTGGCTGAACAAGAGGAAATATCTTTTATTTGTGGATACAAATAATGAGTTCTGAGTTCAATATTTGGATAATTATTGGGAAGTATACCATACTTATATTGTTTAAAATCTCTTTCATGCCTTAATGTTAATGACATTTTCGTGTCAAAAATTGTATCAAAAATCATCACGTTAAATTGAATTGTTAATTTTGTATCTATTTTGTAGTGTGGTTATGAAAGTGCTAGAACAGATGCTTATTTAGATATACCACTAGTTGTTCAACCTTTCGGCTCAAATAAAGCTTATGGCAGTGTGGTAAGTCAGTTTAGTACTTTATTTATAATAAATCATTAAGTAATTAATAACCATACTGTATGATAACTATATGATCCACACAAATAGAACCATAAAGACTCATATTCTATCAGTAATTATTATTTCAAAGATCAGAATGAATCAATATTCATTTTCCATATTCTGTAACCCCTTGTATCTTCCATTTATTGAATCCAGTATAATATGATTGATATAAGGGCATGTGAAGTTTAGAAGCTTGTAAGTATTTAAGTATTTAAACTATAAGTATTTACAGTATAGTTTGATGTAGTTATTATTTGAAAATGATATATTTATACTTTGATGTTTCGAAGTTAATTATTAGTGTAAAAAGAAAATGGTCTATTTACAGGAAGAAGCTATGAATGCCTTTGTTCAACCTGAAACATTAGAAGGTTCTAATCAGTATTTCTGTGAAAAATGTAATAAGAAGTGCAATGCTCACAAGGTAAGAGATGCTGTTTCTTATTGAATGAACATAATGTATCAAATATCCTCTAAGAATTAATGGGCACAAATAATTTGGAAAGATCAATTCCTAGAGGTTTAGCGGGGAGACAGGATCTGTGGGACCTTAAGTTGTTATCCTTCATAAATATTGTTATCATTTTTAGTGCCTGCTTGCTAATCTTTGTTCGACTTTGCCTTGGGTCGAGACAGTAACTTAAGATTTATGAACCACTTTCCCTTACTGTTAGTGTAGGGGCGATAAAAGCATCCTTAATGAGCTACAGATTGCTAGATATCCTATATTTTTACTGGTAAAACTTCTGCTTTTAAACCTTTCATTAGGAGCCTAGATAGATGCACATGGTTTTATTTCAATGTCTCTTTATTTATTCCAGGGTTTAAAGTTTATTACGTTTCCCTATCTGTTAACCATGCAGTTAAAGAGATTTGATTTTGATTATTCTACAATGCATCGTATTAAACTTAATAATAGGTAAACAATAAATTACTTTGAATTTTCTGTTGATAAAGGATTCCGATTTTATTATATAAAAATGCCAAATTGCCTTTAAGAGCAATGCTATTGTGTGGCATTTGATAGCTCCAATCAGCAAAATGGAAAATATTGCTCTAGATTGAGACAGAACACAATGAACCTTTTGTGCAACAATTATAGTATTGTGCATTCCCAGTAAAGCATTTATACAGTTTGGAAACGTGATATTCCATTCTTCTCATTCGAGGATCCACTCAGTTCATAATGATATTACTATTTTTAAGTGTAAGATAGTAAGAAAATATTTGTTATATTCCAGAATGACGTTCCCTGAGTTGTTAGATATAAATCAGTTTATTGATGATTTGGAAGAGAAAGGTGAAAGTAATAATGATAAACATGAAGGTGAAGCTGCAGCTAATGGACCTGTAGATAGTAGTGATGAAGGTAAAACTTGTCAACCCCCCCACTTACCCTTGTACCTCTCCCCATACACAGACGTTTAAGAGAAAAGTGAAAGTAATAATGTCAATGTTAATGATGAGGGAGAGGTATTAGCTAATGGACCTGTAGATAGTAGTGATGAAGGTAAAACTTCCCTACCCTCCCTTACTTCATACATCCACGTTTCCCCTCCCCATACACAGGGGTTCAAGAGAAAAGCGAAAGAAATAAGTATTAGTATTAGTTAATGGTCCTGTTGATAAAACCACCCTGTCTCTACCCATACATAGGACTTGTAGAGAAAGATTGAAGTAATAATGTTGTTTTATTATACAACTGTGGCATTATATTGGCTGGTGTTGCAACAGAGAACATGTGTTAACGTATAAGATTTTTACGTATAAGATAATAACATAAAGCCTGAGCAAAGCCCCAGGTATTTTCACCCTGTTTTTCTCAGAGATTTGTGGCCATAGATTTATATTAACTGAACCAGTATTATATATTATATTTATATATCTAATGATAGGTATTGATGAAGGTATAGAAATAGAGAATAGTCTATCTGGTACATCATCTAGTAGTGATTCTTCCAGTGTAGGTAGTGATGGTACTACTAATGATCACAGTAATGGTAAAAATATACTACAGATTACTAAGAAAAAGGTCAGAAGAGATTTTTTCATTCATAATTCATCTTGAATAATCTTGAATATAGTTTATTATGAAGCGCATGAAAAGGATAAAGACAAGGGCACGTATGCTCGAAACGATCTTAGCGCTAGGATGTCCTAGGTTCTTATCTTTTAGCATTGATTCTAGGATGTCCTAGGTTCTTATCTTTTAGCATTGATTCTAGGATGTCCTAGGTTTTTATCTTTTAGCATTGATTCTAGGATGTCCTAGGTTTTTATCTTTTAGCATTGATTCTAGGATGTCCTAGGTTCTTATCTTTTAGCATTGATTCTAGGATGTCCTAGGTTTTTATCTTTTAGCATTGATTCTAGGATGTCCTAGCGCTAAGACTGTTTCAAGAATACATATATTCAAGACTAAAATCAACACCCCAAAATGACGCATCTGTCCCTTCAATTAAGTTAAAGCCCCTCCCTTTGGTTTTTAGGTGTTATGTGCTGAGCTGAATAGATTATTGAATCTATGTTTGTGTTATATTTCAGGGGCCGTATATATATGATTTGTTCTCTATTATGATCCATTCTGGTAGTGCTGCTGGTGGACATTATTATGCCTATATCAAGTAAGTATCGTTCAGTTATTTTCAAATCTCTTTGTTGCATCTGTTTACTTGTCTCCAAGATTTTTTGTATGACAAAAATCTTTGAGTTTACCATATGGTCTTACCAGTCTCCTGTTCATGAATCAGCTTGTTTAATCTCAACATTCAATTACTTGCCAATAATAGATGAAAATTGGTGGGGCTCTCCTGTCAAAATTTTTATGTAAGAGCATGTGACATGATGGTTAACTTTCATCGTCTCAGAAGGAGTGGACAAGTAGAAAGAAAACTTAATCAAGATAAATAAAGATGTTTCTTATTTCTCTTTTCAGATCATTTGAAGATGGTCAATGGTATAGTTTTAATGACCAACAAGTTACAAGGGTGATTATGATATTTTATATCTCCATTTTGTGTCTTGGCATACTGCTATTATCTTCTGTGCTTTTCTTAATCTCTTTGGTAAAGCAATTGGGTTTTTTCCCTTTTACAACAAAAAGAAGACTTACTAGCAAAGCCATTATGCGACATACTCATACTGTTCATAATTTATTCAGATTATCTATTGATATTTATAGATAACCTATGATGATATACGTAAAGTATATGGTGGTTCTAGTGCTACCAGAGGTTTCTATTCTTCAGCTTATGCTAGGTAAGATTTATATTGTGTATGACATAAAGTATTTAATCCAACTGTAAAAAACTTACCATGTTAACAATATCCCAGTCTTAATGTTAAAAAAAATGGAAAAAAGTAGCTAAGTTCAATCCATTATCTTAGGACTTTAAAGGCTTTCTATAGCAACAAGGTGTAACATTGCAGAAAATTAACAAGTAAACCTATTGTATATTTTAGTTCTACCAATGCGTATATGTTGATGTATAGACAAAGAGACAAAAAAAGAAATTCAGGTAGTATTTCAGATATATTTTAGCAAATTTGCTGAGGGAAGTGTTTAGAATAAATACAAATTTAAAAATGTATTTTTATCAATACAATGTCCACCTATTGGTGATCAATGCTGTTTTGAGCTCCTTTTCAAGTAAAAAAATGGATTTACCTACAAAAAAAAGAGAACAGTAAGAAAGAAACAGCCTTTTTTTTTTTTTTTAAGTATAGCAACTTTCTACCAGCTGTTTCTTGTCAAAACTTCTTCTCATTGGTCATTATTATTTACTCATTTAAGACTGGGTTGACTGGAATAATGAGGAAATATGACTTATTTACCAGACTTGCACAGGCTGATCAAGATTAGAACCTACCACCACAACCTTGCAAATGACATACTGTTAAGTTGCTTAACTAACTCTGCTACAGGACTCCTCATTAATGACAAATGAACTGGACATTTCAGCTTTTCTGTCACCAGAAGAATTCCCATCCTCTTTACAAGAAGAATTGAGACGACAGGAAGAGAAGGAAGAAGCTGAGAGAAAACAGAGAGAAATAGATAGATGTACTTGTAAGGTAAGTAGTGTCACTACTCTACTAGTTTTCTTTACTGGCTGTTTTATCACAGACCTACTGTATGATTGCATATTTTTCTTACCCCAAAAAAGGGATAATTTCACAAAAACTGATAGAAAAGCTAGATACAAAATTTATTTTAATAATTGGCCTATCAGATGATATCACCTTAATTTAATTTTTGCAAAACAGGCCTCATGTAGTTCATGTGATGTTTATTTTAATGTTTTATTCTAATGAAAATGACACATAGGAAAAGTATATGACTAGTAATCTTTGCTAGCCAAGTAAAAAAAAATATTCAACGTGCAAAAGCGTATCTTAGAATTTATTGAAATTAAAAGTATACAGTGAAAATATTCAGTTACCTTATCTTTCTAAAAACAGATCTCACTATTTGATAATATCAGCAAGATTTTGATGGCAATGAGTCATATTTATATTTCAGATAAAACTATTCTGTTATCATCCTATTACCCAAAGAAAGATGGATGCCAAGTTTGAAATCCTAAAGTTTACCACATTGAAAGAGGCCACTGAAATGGCTTACAAGGTTTGTTATTATATTCGCTTTGGAAAATATTTGTCTCTGTTAAGGAACAATGAGACTCGACTATTATCTTAAATGGCAATTTAATTTTATCTAAGCTTTAAGTAGATATAATTGTTGTAATTTTTTTGTTATCATCTGAAAGAGCTCAATGACATTGATAAGTTATGAGTCTGAAGTCTGAACTCGAATTCTAAACTTTCAGAAATGGTGAATTTTTAGATTTACGCAATTATGAAATTTGATTACGTAAAATGATGCTATTTTTAAAAATAAAAACATATAGCCCATTTTCCCTTATATCAAATTTTTAGTTTATTCCATTTGTCTGTTTTTCAGATATTTGAGTTGGAGAATGTTATTAAGTTAGATCAGTGTAGATTGATAAAATATGATGAACACTCAGATTCGTTAGAGAAATCCTACGAAGGTGAAGAGATGACTGATATGTCTACGTTATTAGGGGGCGTGAAATCGAGTTATACTTTTGATTTATTACTCGAGACTAGAACTGCTGATCAAACTTTTACTGAATACAAATCTGGAGGTAAGATATTTTTATTGGGAAATTCATATTTATGAACATCTACATCGATCCAGGGTTCAATCCCGCATAGGTCGAGACAATACATTCAGATTTTTTCCATCCGGTTTCCGGGGGCTGACATGTAAAAAGCGTCTAGTCGTTCGGATGGGACAATAAACCAAGGCCCCGTGTGCTACAGGCTCTGCACGTTAAAGATCCCTCGACAGTTGGAAATTGAAAAAGAGCAGGCTAATGCAAAATGTCCCTCATGGCACCCTGCAGAAGAGTAGAACATAAAACTCCATTCTTTTCATTTCATTTACATCTATCTAGAAATGTTCTTGTCTGCAATATGGAAGCCATGATATTGCATCTTCACAATGTCAAGATATTACGAATTTCTTACTTATACTTGCAATAGTTACCTTTCTTGTGTTCTGGATTTTGTTAATGAATCGATTTTATTGGATTGTACGCTAGCAAAATCAGCCAATCAGAGGCCTCAGCAGAAAATCTGAACACAAAGCCATAATATTTACAGCCTTTCTATCGAGGGCTCTGATCGGCTGTATTGGCTGGCGTGCAATCCAATCAAATTGCTGCATTCCGTGATACAAGAAAGAAGGTCTGTAGTAGAACCTGCAGTGATTGTACACTAAATATTATTTATTATCTTATATTCTACAGGTGTAACAGTTAAGGTGTTTGTTGTGGATATTGAAAGAGAAATCATCCACCCTCCTGTAAATATCCGTGCCTACCATGTCCAAACTGTTAAAGAGTTCAAAAATCTTGTATCCCAGGTTGGTAAAATGATATATTCATAGTTCAATGGTCATATTCAAAGATGTTTAAGAAAAATTAACCAATTTATAACTTTTATGAGAATTCAGGTTCTAGTATTAATAACAAGAGGCTATAGTTAACTTATGAAAGTCTCAATGAATGTCGAGTCTTTCATGTGGAGCCATAAACTGAGGCCCCATGTTCTAATAGGATGTTTGAATGCTTATGTTAGAGCGGCAATGAGCGCTATACTAAGTTCAATAATCTTAATTTTAATAAAAATCTATGAGCATTTGAAAATGAAAGATTATGTGCAAAATGACTCTTGATTTCTCGGCTAAATACAATTCATGGTACAGATTTCATATCAATCGCCTTGAAAAAAAGTGAAAAGATTTATTAGACATTTTGTGTTTTATGTTTTAAAATTCTGTAATTCTTATTAATTTTTCTAGAAATTGAATTTACCTGCTGAAAATATGAGGGTTGTATTCGAAAGATTTCATAATGATCTTCGTCTTTTAACCGTGCCAAATAAAACACTGAAAGCAGAGGGATTTTTTAAAAGCAATAAGGTAAAGGTTTGGTTATTATTTAACTCTAAATACTATTGTTCTAAGATTCTGTTGTATTCATCATTTCAACAGTTTACAATGTCAGACTTGGGTAGAGTTTTATTTATGGATATAGTTAGAGATTGAGTCAGTTAGCTGCACAGTTTCTGCCAGATGACTTTATAGGTCTCCTTATGGAGGAATTTGTAGTTGCATGAATAAAGATGATATAAATTGACTTTGAATTCAATTAAGGTGCATATAATTCAAAAATGATTATAGTTACTGTATTAGACTCATTTGGTGTTAGAAACATTTTCAGCTACCAACTAAACTTGCGTTTAAAAGTAGCTGATAATGAGAGATTTATCTGCTCTTGAAGCAAATGGAAAAATGTCTGAGGAAAATATATTACTATATTGATATAATTGCTTGATTATTACTGAATGCCATACAGAGATAACCAATAATGGTAGATTTATCTGCTTGTGAAGAAAGTTTCTATGATTAATTTATGAAAGTGATATATATATTAATGTAATTGATTGATCTAGGTGTATATAGAGTGTAGTCAAAAGAAAGAAGAAAACATGGAGAGTTTTCCACGAAGTAAATTTTATCAACTTCTAGATCGTCATCAAAATACTATTCGTGTTTATGTTAATTTACCAACAAAAGGTAAAGGTTTTAACTTTATATAAATCTCAGGAGACCGGATCAAACAGGTCCACCAAGCTTACAAGTCTTGATTTTGAGACTTTGATTTTTATAGCAAAGATGTTATAAGAATGCCAATTGAACATTAATTTTTTCATAATTTTTTCATAAGTTTATCAAGTGTTGTGATAGATGAATTAATACATGAAATAATTTCTTTAAAATGAGACAGCCTACTGTTGTCATTATTTGTCACATTGAAAATTACACCCAATTAAATAGACGATAGATTTAACAATATGATAACTTGTTAATTTTAAATTTTTTATTTTTACTTGTAAAATATTTTCATCCTGTTTCTATTTACAGATGAAGTTCAAGAATATATTCGTACATTACGTGAGAATCAACTGAGACATCAACAGATATTACGCACTTTATCAGAATCAGACGATCTTAGTCCTGATGATATCACTCAAACAACCAGTGAACCTATATTAGAAATCGATACATATCTTCAAACATTGTCCCTTCACAATAGTCATAGTGATCCTTCTATATATCATAGCTGTCGAGACACTTCGGAATTCAGTCCGCTGGAATCGGACGGTCGCAGCACTAGTCCCGTCGGTGCTGGGTCAAGTAGTCAGGAGATTAGTTTGAGTGCAGAGTGCAGTCTTAGTTTAAACTCTAATCAGGGAAGTCAGTCACTGTCCCCCGATACGCCCAGTAACCTCAGTGATAAATGTGATGATATAGACAATTGTGATATGAATAAACTGGACAGTGGTGAACATTGTGTAAATAGTGACAATGAAGAGATAAATCAACCGCTAACCCAAGACGGACTACAAAACAGTATTCAATTCAATTTCAAAGTGTGGTTGCCACATTTAGCGACACCTGGTTTAAACGACAGTACTGCTAGTGGTAGCGGTAGTAATTCTGTAGTTAGTGATACAACTATATCAAATAGGAAAGATGAAGAAGAAAATTGGGATTTAGATACAATACCAACATCATCTACGTCTACGCAGTCAGAAACCAGTTTTCAAGATGAACCTGTAGAAGATGTTAGGTTTTATTTCTATGTTGACGTTGATGAAAATCAAACTCCAGATTCGAGAAGTAAGTATTGCATAATCATTTAATAGGAGGCAATATTGTGATGGGCATTGCAATATTTATCAATAATCCCTATCAATTAATGTCGACTATATTAATCACAGTAGGTCAATTTCTTACTTTGTAACCTTCAAGCTGAAATGTCATTAAATAGTCATCGATATGTCACCCCTCATCTCCAATACATAATGCTTTTCATATCAGTATCATACATTGCTATGCTTGTTTATAACAGTTCATTTGGTATATCAGGGTGTTTTTTTAGCTATGTTGCAAGTCAAATTATTTTCAACGATGAAAATTTATGGATCCAAGAAAACATTTGAAGAATTATCTAAAATGACTCACATCTTTGATAACACGAGGCACCATCTGTTTCTTCAGAGAGTCCACAAAATAATGTTTTATTGTTGTATATTACCAGGTCTGACAGTGTATGTAGATAAAAGAATCAGTTTAGGTGCATTCAAGAAAGAATTGGAGATGTACGTCGGAACCAATTCTGAAAATTTCAAAGTAAGTTGAAGTATATTCTCTTTGTATTTTTAAAGAGCTTTACATGCTGATGAAATGAAAATTAATTTGATGATTATACTATAATCATTAAAGTTAATCTTATTTTCTGAAACCATTTATTCTATTCTTAAATTAAAGTTTATGATGGGGAAACAAACAAGATTGTATTAAACATCATTGACCAAGTATTATTTTACTTAGAATTATAAAGTTTTTGAGTTGAACAGGAAAAGTTTTTTTAACTTCTGTGATTAAGTATATATGGATCTAGAATTAGAAAGAATATATCGATATAATATTATGTCAGAGAAAAAAGGTATTTGGAATTATTCACTCTCAAAGTCAGGTAATTTTTTTGAACTGATGAAGACTGAATGATATAATTATATATTTATAGGTATACAGAGTGTATTCTAATAACCAAGAATTTGAAAGTATTAGACTCTCAGATACATTAACATTTCTAGAGGATGGAAGAGTAAGTTAATAGTTAATTTATATTGATTGAATTATAAACCAGGAAAGATAGTTAATACCATTAGATTCAAAACAAAAACACAACTAGTCCACTTTAGTTTGAGGTATATAAGCACTAATGGTTTGACTGGTATGTACCTTCAAAGAAAAAATAGACTTATTATACATATCCACGAATTTTCACCAAGCAAATGTGCTTAAATATCTTTGCGTCTAAGAATAGTCTTGTGTATCTGATGACGACACATGTAAATTGTGTTGAAATGTTATGTACTTTGTTATTAAAGAAGTGTGTTATACCATTGTGTTTTCTGTTGATATTTTTGATAATGTTCAATAACTTTCTTTTATTTGTTATATTTGTAGTTGAATATTAAGTTAGGTAGAGCGTTACAAGCCGGTGAACATAGAGTGAAAGTTTATCAACTACTAGTCAATCAACCTGAGGTACGTCATTTTGAAATGGAGTTTTACTTCTTACTTTTATGTTCCATTCAGTCTAATGAACATAGTCAATACCATGCATTGTACAACCATTTTGCCAGGACAATGGCATTTAATATAAAATTCGGTGTATACCCTCTGACCTTATGCACTGGCAGGGAAACATAGTGGGTTGAAAAATCCACTTAAATTACAGACGTGCAACGACCTTTCTTGCATAATAGGTTGGCAAACAAGTATCTAACTTACTGAGCCACTTGACAGGTGTTATTACTAAGAACGATATAAACAGTGGATCAGTTCACAAACCTAGACATCTGATTGGAACAAATTCTAATTTGATGAAATATCACAGTCTGAACCTGTATAAGCCTTTTAGCTAAAACGTAAACACAAATGATGATGAATGGTTTAATGTTTTGGTATTTAAATGATATTTTTTGATTGTCTGTTTGTAGCCGTGTAAATATCTAGTAGAGACTATATTTGCTAAAGGAATGTCAGTAGTAGAATCTAAGAAATTAACTTTACCAGAAATTAAAGAACAAGTTTCATTGGATATACCTCTTAGTAGGTGAGTGCTGTATACAGATTTCGGTCCAAAGGATATTTTTTGCACAAAAACTAAGAAAAAATCTCTATATTATGTATTGTTTGTGCAAGGCTGCAAAAAACATGTCTAATTATACAAATGAGCATCCTCCAATCATACATATATTAACTCCAGTATTGGTTAAGTGATTGCTAAGTGCTCATTTAAATAATTTTAATTTTCGGCTATATTTGAAGGTGTCGGTTCCGAAAGAAAACATGGAAGAATCCTGGTGTGGTCTATTTAGATTCTCAGATATATGATGATGATATAGCTATATTTCCTAATTGGGAAGTTTTCTTAGAGGTCTTAGATGGTAAGTATTGCTGTTGGTAACTCAGAAAAATACAGAAGATAAGCATATAATATGTATTATATTCATATATATATGAAACATTTCTGAACATGTCTGTGATAGAGGATAGGTAAATAATGCCTAAAATCAGCAAATAGTGCAAATTTAAAGTTTGCTTAAGCTTAGACATGATCTCTATCGTAAGTAAAGAGCTAAACCAGTACTCTGAAGTATTGATTAGGGTATTGCAAGCCACCCCCCCTCACAGTCCCAAAAGCAAGTTTTTCTGTCAAAAATCTCATAACTAGGTTTAAGATTTGGGCAATCTCAGATATCTCACCTGACTCCACCACTGTTTAAAATACATTCATCTCAATTATTGTTTCTCAATTCACATTTTGTAAAGGCTTTTATAGTATGTAAGAATAATACTATAAATAGATTGAATGTGATATATAATAATGAACCCAGATATTTAGACTGATATACATCACGAACTCTAGTGTATATTTTGTTTATATGGGTACATGGCATTTTGTTGATAACGAAAAGAATATTGTAGAGTATTTTGTCTGTTCTTTGAGATATTATGCCATTCACAGCTGAACAAAACCTTTACCTGTGTCAACTGGAAAGTGTTTAACCCTTAGATCTGCTTACTTCTATATGTGAAGATGATTTGACATACTATATTATTGAAAATGCTCAATTTGATGTTTTGAATATTCAATATAATTCCAGGCCCTGAAACCAAGACAGTGGCAACTCAACTAGCTGTGTATGTAAGAAGATGGAGATCTTCAACTTATACATTTGAACCTTTTCAAGAAGTCGTTTTACGTCAGGAAACTCTTGAAGAACTCAAAACAAAGGTAGAATTCTCATATTTGCATTCAATCAAAATACTATTGATCGTTGGCTTCTGTAAATCATGTCTTTGTTTTAGAGTGCAACCTGCATCCCAGTGTCTGTTGCCAGATATAATTTCTAGATATTATGAACGCTGGCAGATATAGGTTGAAATTTTAACTTTTGTTTGTATATCTTTTAGATCTCAGAAATAAGTTCAATACCTGTTGATAATATAGATTATGGAAAGGTGAGTCAAAAACAAATCAGCCTCTTTTTGCACAAATATTTCATGAGACAATATCTGTCTATTTTGAGATAAAATAGATGTGACTTGTAGAACAAAACTGTTAATTCACTATGATTTAACTGAAGGGAATTGTAAAGAAGTTGTCTAAACTTTCTATGTGTATAAGGACACTGATAGCATTCTAATTTTCAGTAAGACATCTTTATTTCCTATAATGCTATCAGTGAGATAAACCATTGAGTTAAATTGTTATTGTTTTTACAGGGAAAAGGGACATTTCCTTGTGAATTATCAGTATTAGAAGTGGATACAGAAGTTGATTGGAACCCACCCTGTGTTAAATTAAGTCAGCTCTATATCTGTGATGATGGACATGTGATATATTACAAGTAAGTTATTTGTGGTCTGAAAATAATTTGTTTAGTAAGAGTGGTGTCCCTTTATAGATTAGTTGGAGAGCCTTGAAGATACATATTATGATTTGGTGACCAGTTCGTATTGTCATAGATAGGCTCTCTAAAATTGAGTTTCCCTGTGAAAATACTGGGGCTGCAGAAAAATAGCTTGTATGGGTTGTGCTGCAGATAGAAGATTTCTGTATACAAATGGAAATGGGATTTATTGGTTAATTTAATTTTGCTTTTTATTAATTTTTAATTTTGTAAATATCTTTTCAGAGATAGAACTGAGCAACCTGGTGAACTGACAGAAGAACAGAAAAAAGAGATGCAACAGAAAGAGAATATAAGGTAGTATAAAGCTGTTTTGTTGTGTTTCACAATCTTTTACCGAGTTATTTCTGTCAAAAAGATCTGACTTGTATTACCAGTCTTCTCTCAAAAAGTAGGATGTAAAGTTATTTCAGTTTATATGTTTTTTCAGGATCGCTAAATACAGCCCGAAAATGTTGACCTATTCACCAAGAAAAGAGAAAGCTTTGAAGATTTATACAGATGATAGTCCACCATCTTCTAGTAAACTTTCTCTCGATATTGATTAATAACCTAGCTTGATCTTAACAATTAAAAACCTAATCTAGTTAACTGTTGATAAGTCAAAACTTAGCTAAGTGTCAAATATTAGATGCCTAGCTAAGTGTTGATAAATCAAAACCTAGCTAAGTTTCAAAAATTAGATGCCTAGCTAAGTGTTGATAAATCAAAACCTAGCTAAGTGTCAAATATTAGATGCCTAGCTAAGTGTTGATAAATCAAAACCTAGCTAAGTTTCAAAAATTAGATGCCTAGCTAAGTGTTGATAAATCAAAACCTAGCTAAGTGTCAAATATTAGATGCCTAGCTAAGTGTTGATAAATCAAAACCTAGCTAAGTTTCAAAAATTAGATGCCTAGCTAAGTGTTGATAAATCAAAACCTAGCTAAGTGTCAAATATTAGATGCCTAGCTAAGTGTTGATAAATCAAAACCTAGCTAAGTTTCAAAAATTAGATGCCTAGCTAAGTGTTGATAAATCAAAACCTAGCTAAGTGTCAAAAATTAGATGCCTAGCTAAGTGTTGATAAATCAAAACCTAGCTAAGTTTCAAAAATTAGATGCCTAGCTAAGTGTTGATAAATCAAAACCTAGCTAAGTTTCAAATATTAGATGCCTAGCTAAGTGTTGATAAATCAAAACCTAGCTAAGTTTTAAAAATTAGATGCCTAGCTAAGTGTTGATAAATCAAAACCTAGCTAAATGTCAAATATTAGATGCCTAGCTAAGTGTTGATAAATCAAAACCTAGCTAAGTTTCAAAAATTAGATGCCTAGCTAAGTGTTGATAAATCAAAACCTAGCTAAGTGTCAAATATTAGATGCCTAGCTAAGTGTTGATAAATCAAAACCTAGCTATGGGTCAAAAAGGGAAAACCTAACGTTTGTTTTGAAAACACTTAGAACTGGCTGGCTTCAAGGACTATGAACCTAGATTTGTTTTAAAGAGAAAAAACCTAATATGTAGGTATTCGATATATCCTACATTTCAGTACTTCGCCAAAAACCTGGCAATGATATTCTCCAAGAAATGTATTCTTCTTCAACTGAGCTGTGAGTTTAATCCTATAGAAAGTTTGTTTCATTTTGGATTGTTTAGAAGCACTATACTTGTTAACACAAAATTGTTTTCCTTTTGCTCACTGGAGTCAATTTGTTAAGACACCTGTAATTAGGTGAGAAATTCTTTCTTGAAAGGCCACTTAGAAAAGTACTAAAAACTATGAGCGTTGAAGGATGGATGGAGGATTTCTTATATCAATAGTGAATACTTGACTTTGTCATCATTAGATACTTCATTCCATTATTACTGGTGCAGCAGTTAAGTGCTAATTTTTTTTGTTTTACTCTGAATGACTTATGATTTATGTTAATTGCTACTTAATGCTCATAGCATGCCACACAACCTAACAAAATGTTTTGAAATTTGGTACTCTTCATAAGTTCATTTAGTTTTATATATTTATTCTCATTTTGCTAAAGAGGCACATATATGGCACAAGGTTATTGTCATGCATGGCTTTTTGCTTCAAGATTTGTTACTGGTACTTAGTTTAGTGTGTTATAAGAGAAACATCTTCCGGTCAAAATCAACCATTCTTGGCTGGCAAATAATGTAAGATTAATAGCCCTGATTCAGGCATTAGGTGTAGAATATTAGGAAAATCAAAGTTGTATGAAGTTTTGTCTTTGTTTTTGTATTAAATTTAGTTTATTAGTATTTTGATCATTTATCTGTTTTTTCTCCCTTTTGTTGATTGTTAATTTGAGGATCATAAAATGAAAATAAATTTTAAAACTGGATATGAATTATATAGAATTTGTTGATAGGGCTTGGCTATATCTAGTCATTCAAGTTAATGTTTTGATACATTATGATATGTTATTTCTGACAATAATATAGTGAGTTTATTGTTAGTTTAGTTGAAACAGTTCTATTTTGATATTATTCACTTAAAGTATGGCAAAAATTTAATCTGATAAATATGAAAATGCAGAACTGGATGTTTTTATTCAGGTTTATCTCTGGAAATATTATTTTGAAAAATGATATAAGATTGCTGATAATTATATTTTTTACTGTATAAGACATTACAGTTGTTTCAAATGAAAAGATATTAGAAATTGTTTATCAAAAGTCTATAAATTTATAACCATAAAACACTTACAAAGAGAATATTCACTGGTAGTCCACCATGGTAAAACATGATGAAACTAAACATCTAGATCTTCATTTTAATCAGATCAGGGCTCTTGATTCTGGACATGACTGGTGCAGATAAGGCAGCTCAATTTATATGATTGACAATAAGTACCATTATTAGTTATTTCAAATAAAAAGATTTGTTCAAACTGTATGTATATTAAAGGCTTTACATTTGAATGGTGATTGTCCCAGCCTTATTAGTTACTAATGTTTGTTAGTTGATAGACTACTGTATATTATATTACAGACCATATTGACTAGTTACATCTTTTAAAGATGTAACCTAGGAGATCAAAAATATTTGTACACATCTGTGGATATTTTCAAATTTGAATAAAAAGGGTGTATTTCATTTTGAGGTAGAATAAGAGGTAATGGCTGAAATGTCTTGGTAGCAAGTATAGCTTCATTTGGTATTGTGTTTGAAAGATACCTGAGTGTGGATACGCTCATAGCTACTTATACTACCTCAAAATAAAGTGGACTGTTCTGGTTTTTGTTTGGAATCATCCCTGGATGTGCATAAATCTATTTGTCCTATTAAAGTAATAATTATTAATGTATATAGAGTTATTGTGAGTATATATATATAATCTGTAAATAATATTATAAATCAATGTTATTGCTGTTATAAGCAGAAATAAACCAGTTTCATTTATTTGTTGTGACTACTTACTGTATATTTGCGAGTATAACGCACAGTTTTTTACCCTGGTGTAAATTAGTGAGAGCACATCTCATGCTAGCTTGGGTGTGTGAAAAGCAGAATTCTCATGGGGCAGCTAGTATTCCAATATTGGACTTTTGGTGTATGAGCAAAGCAAGGGAACTCATTGGTATCTAACTTATTTACAGCTAAATATAATTTTACAGGCAGCAGTAAAAACCCACTTCTCAATTGACAGATAAGCTTTTTTGAATTGTACAAAAATAGTTTCATATTGATAAAAAATATGCACGTGTTAAAGGGTTCATTTGAATTTGAGGGGGTAAAATACATGGCATACCCATTAGTTCCTTGAAGGTCATGAACCTTGGTAAACAGAGAGAGCCAAGCTCAAGATGTAATGATGATGGATTCTTTTGAAAATAGATGTCAAGAATAAGGATGATTCAGCCTCCTACTTTTGATAAACCAAGATTTCCAGGAGCGCTTTGATTCAAAGATAGAACACTCGGTGAAAATTCTGACCATCTTCTTTATTCAGGCCCTCAAATCACTCTCCCAAGGGAAATAACTCTTACTAAACACTTGATATCTTAAGACCACAATATAACTGACCCTAATTTAAATAAGTGAAAGGTAACGTAGTTGTTCCTAACAAAAGAAAACTAAAAAATTTTTCACACATTTTAATTTATATTTCAAATTTGAAAGAGCACTCAAGTATAGAAAATTGATTACACCTTGGTATTTTGATGTAAAAGGGATAATTTTGATAGGCTGATGTTTATATATATATGCGCATGACACTACATATATAAGGATGACTGTCTGTTAACTGACAGCTTTTAAGCCAGGCATATGTAGCAAAGTGTGGAGAGGATGGAGGAAGTGGGAGTGGATATATAAAACACTCAAATTGAGCCAATTTTCTTGGTTTTCTTTCATATATATGAATCAATCCATCATTCATTTCATAAGCCTTCGTTGACAGTGATATGGTTGAAAGCACTTTGATGTCAGCTTTGTGCAGAAAATAGATGTTAATCTCCATTTATTTCATGTCAGTTTCCTTACATTTCCGTGGTTACAAGTTCAGATCACTTGTCGTAATATTCATGACTACCATACGGTAACATAGGAAGTTTATACGCAATCATATATAGCCCTACTCCAATACCAGTTAATGACAATACCACACTCGTATAGGACGTTGAGGCGTATAGTAACACAGCATTCAACGGTAGACAAAATATAACAGTTTTCTCAGATAAGATTTCATGGCGCCACATGATAGTCCAAAGTATCACATAAACAGGAACTGTAGATGGTAAGATTAACAGTTCCAGCACTTTTAAACAATAACGGAATAAACTGGGCGTCACAAATGTATAGTTTCGATAAAATGTTGTTATAATTAGAGCAGTTATGGCCGCCACACTTGTTGGTGTATTTTGATTATATTCGCGTAAATTACTAAATAATAAAATGTCTTTTTGTAAACACATAAATATCAACGAAGCTCCACAGCACTGGAATAGAGAATAAATGAAAATTGCTTTTAAAATCTTTATCAAAACAAAGCAAGTCATCCTATCCTGAGTAATAACTCAGAACCAATGTTCTAGATGCGCTAAGTGCAATTCAGAGATGTAGATTTTGCTGTAGTTTCCAGAAATGACTGGCAAAGATACATTGGTTATCAACTACAGGTTGGATAAATAGTGTAAGCAAAAATCCATATTAATAATAAAACTGACACAGCAACATTCTAAGAATTTATTTTGACTGTATCATCTGTATAATACTGTGTTATAAATCGTTAATCAGACGACCATAGGCAATTATTAAAGATAACATAATATTGAATACTAAAAGTCCAAGTCTTGTACATCAACTTACCCACATATCATGTAGAAATCCATCTACCGGACCTTGTAAACATAATAATATAAAAGATATAAAACAGGTGGTATTAGCTATTATAGGTAATAATGGTCTGACTTTTTCTTCATCTTTACTCACTGTAGGTAGTATACCTGGTACCTAGAATTATAATATAATATACAATTAATTATCAGAGTATAAAAGGTATCTTAAAGAAGTTTTCTAGTCTATATATATCCATAAAATTGACTCTGATGCATTAAAGCAAACACAATATAAATTAATTTGAATTAAAAACATAAATGAGCACTGATCTTATGTTGATGTATTGTGTATGCAAAATTCCATTGGCCAAAACTGTGTAAGACTAGGATAGGCCTGTAGCAAGTTTAATTGTTGTTTGAAAATTTCCCTGCATCTAGCAAGTTTAATTGTTGTCTGTAAATTAGTTTCAAGGTAGGAGATATTTACTGAACCATGACGAGCACTTTTAACTGTCACCCTAAACCCTTTTCATATAGCTAGCAATAAACAGCTTAAACTTACCTTTTTATAAGAGAGTAGTTTAAGTATAATACTAAGATATAAAGAAGATAATAATAAAGATTTAAATGTAGGTAGATCTAATAATGATGTTGATTTAGAACTGTTGAAACTCTCCCATATCAACAACATAATCTGACTAGAAATCTCACATATACACCTGAAATTATATCAAATCAAAACTTTTACTTTTTACACTCTTTTTGTATAATTGTGAATATATTGCGCACCCCTTCAATCAACCAACAGCATTGTTAAATGTTGGTAATTTTTGTCTGGGCCTATTTTAGGATTAAGCCCTAAACTCCAGATTCATTTTTATCTAGCCTTACTCTGATATGTAATTGGACCATTCCCTTTGATCTTTTCATTGATTTAACACATGCTTAACTGTGCTATAACTAGTTTCAAATTAAAGTTTTGCATGTCATTTAATTCAGTTAACTCATGATCTGTGCTGTGAAGTTTACAAGAATTCTTCAATACAAATTCCTCCTAATGTCCAGTTGGTTAGAAGGGTTTAAATTCAATAATAAGGCCTAAGATGTATGGACAAAGTAAGTAAACTGATTCAAGAACAAGAAGTAATATAGACTTACAGATATTGTATATATGTATCTGATAACTGTATAAAACTCTCTATTTTAATATATATTATAAGTAATATAATCAGTATGGTAGTTGATATATAGTAAACTACTACTGATATCACATCCCAGTTTTCACCAATTATCTACAAAATTCAAAAATCACCAATCAAATCCAGGAAAATATGTCTGGCTTCTTCATGAATTATGAAATTCAATTAAAATAATCCAAGATTTTTCCAATCAAAACCCGAATGACAATGGCTACAATCTATTCTTTTGGGGCAAAGCTTTAGATTAAAAATTCAGGCTATCTTAACTGCTCTTTAAAGGGAGACAACTTTTAATAGAGACTAATATGGCACAATTTAATTTCATCAACAATTTGTATTGACATTGAACACTCAGTTTATCCCTTTGATCTATCATGTTCTGAACATCTGTAAACAACTCACACTTGATGAGACTAGAGCTCATCTCATGCATGTAACATGTTTTGGATACACAACCCTCATCAGGACATATACTTACCAATATGACTAGTCTAATACTGGGACAGATTGATAATATAGATGATAACAATAGTAAATAGTTGAAATTAAGACTAATATTACTGTAGAGTATAACAGTAAATACCAACATTGTCGCTAGTTCACACCATTGAAAGATACTATATCTGAAATATACCATTAAAATAGATTTTAACAGGTTTTCAAGATAAATAAGAAGGCTGATACAGATATCCTTATAACAATCAGTTAGAATGCTGGAACAAATGATAGTCGTGGGTTCTATTCTTGGTCTTGGTCTTTCTTCATTATTCCACTCCACCCAGTTGAATATTAGAAGCATGTAAATGGGGTTATGTAAAGATTCCAGTGCTCTTGGACTAATATTACTGTACAGTATACCAGTAAACGATAATTCTACTAATCCTTAAAAATGTTATTTCAACAAATGACCCAAAGGTAAAGTCAGCAACATACTATGCCAGCAAAATTTGCAGAAATAAACTTACAATGAAAGATCAATATCTGGCTGGATAATGAAGACTATGATAGACACTAACAACATGACCAGTCCTAGCTTATTCAGATCATTATCAATTTGTTTATTCTCAGTTTGTTGTTGTTTATTTTCTGTCTGTTGTTGAAGTTGTTGTGGATGGAATTGTGTAAACAACAGAACTAATGCTCCACCAATCAATAGCCATAAGCCTGTAATGAAAACAAAACCCTGTTAATAGATTACAATGACGAATTATGGGAAAGTGAAACCCAAAGAAGCTGTCATATTGCTCGTCTTTTGGTATCGCAATCAGGAAATTGGCCCAACATTACATACTTTCATTGGTGAGAAAAGGCTCAGTAGAACAGAACTGCTGTTGAAAACTTGTCAGATCACAATGGAGATAAAACAATACTACATAATCTCCATTAGATTGGGTGTATGTTTACATTACCTATTAATATAGAAGTTGAAGGCTGTTCTAGTAATAGTACATAGCCTAATGTTGATATGACTGTTTTAATATTGACTAGTAGAGATAATAATAATAAACATAGACCAGCCAGAGTCTGAAATATAGACAGAGAAAGATTAAATCTTAATGTTAGCTGTAAATTGACTATCTTTTAAGAATGTATTTCATGGATCTACAAAGTCTTGTTCCCACAAAACAAACAAAATTAGGATCATTAAATTTGCCAAGAATAGCTGGAACAATCAATGCAGTGACACGATGACTGGTTTTGTAAACTCTGCATTTCTTAAGTCCACATAGCTAAAAACGATTACAAATTATTGACGATAGATTAAAAGCTGCCCAACAGTATTAAAAAAAAATTCTTCAGCATGTACTTACTTGTGATTGTGAAATATTCAATCTGTTTTCAAATACAAACATCTTTAAACACATAAACACCAAGCATAGCAACAATAGTGAGGAAAGTAGAGTTATGGGACTTGGATTTATCTGATCCAACAGTGCAGACGTCACTTTAGTTAGGTGAATGCTGGCTCCAATTATGGCAGTCGTCTGGGACAGTTTATGAGACATATACAATCTGAAAAAAAAACCAGAAATCAGTCTTAAAGGGCAACTATCAATCAGAATTTTCAGGGGTAGATATAGGCCTTGAATTAGTCATCAAAGTAACTTTTAAACACAGATAATTAAGGATATACATTGAAAAGAAGGCCAAAATATGGATGGTAATATTTGAACATCATTAATGATTACTTAGCTACCGGTAATAGTTATTCCCATACTAAGGTATGATTGATGAAATTTCCTGAGATTAGATTAGTGTGTATTTTGTATTTGTATTCAAAAGTCCCAGTAATTATCCGCATTTTAACACTTCAACTCAAAACCTTAATGCATCTTTTAGATATGACTAAGGAAGGAGATAATCCTTATTTCAGCTTACCTATATAACATATAAGATGTAGCTATACCAGTAGCATGTATTATGGGTAATTTTATTAAATCTGATTTCTGTAAACATACTTCACAAATTACCAACACTGAAACACAGAGATTTTCCAGATTTACTTGAGCATAAGAAAGGGTGTGCACTATATTAACAAATATACAATAAAGAAAAATTAATTATGATATTCAACAAGTCTATCTTTATCCAAAATAATAGCATAATAGGATCTGGGTACTGTTTCACAATAAAATCTTACAATTGTAAGTATTTCTCAATGTAAAATACCACTCTTATGTTGAAAGATAAAACACCTTTTAAGGGGCATATATTGTAAGCTAGAATCTGCCTCTCCAGTAAGTATATGTATAAGTTCTTACCTAGAGATTCTAAAACTATAAAAAATCCCAGTAATTCAGGCGTGCCATACGTAGATAAATATATACATAATAAACACAGTACACTGTTTATACCCAGTAATATATAAAATATAGAAATTGGTATCTTCTCCACAAAATCATATCTTTTATCAAGTTAAGAAATAATATTTTGTTCATCAACAAGGACATTTTTGAGATGTTAAAAGAGTTCTGATCGCAACTGTTGTAACTGTGGCCAAAGTATATGGCGAAGGGATACTAGTGTTACAAGTCTATATACAGAGTGGTTGCCAAAGAGTGTATGCGAATGCACTAGCAAGGAATGGTTGATTTGGATGAAGTGTCCACACATAGTGAGAGAGAGGTTATCAGAGTCTGTTCTTTGGGCAGATTTCAGAATAATTCAAGCACAACACTGATATAAAACAAAATGATGTTGGCAGAAATTCTTCACCTCCATTTTAGTCTTCTTCACCTATACACTCACATTACAATGTAAGAATATAAAAGGATACTGTAATTGCCATGGTAATGTAATTATCCAGTAGAACATTAAAACTGTCAATGCTACCATCAATGATATTGCTACAATCTACAAAATAAATAACATGGAATCTCAATGGAACGAATGAGCAAAATTGAAGGAGACAATGAAATTGAACAATGAAAACTGACAACACGAAGCAGTGTATTGATTGTCCCACAGAGAACGGAATATTATCAAATATTTAATATGATTAAAATCTATGAAATACATGCCTCAAGAATGAGTTTTTATCAATAAGCTAGGCTTATTATCTATTATTATGATAGACTAAAATCAAGACAAAAAAATGAAGCTCATTCTATCAGGAATACTTATAGGTTTTCACCAACCTTATGTTTTTTCCAAGACAAGACAATACCAAGAATACTGAATCCTACAATAGAGACTGGTAACCATGGTAAAAAATGAGAGATAAGACCAAATGTCTGTAGTACAGGATAACATAATAACGTAGCTGCAGCACCAGATATATAGCGCATTTTAATAACTAGTGAATACTGTAAACCTAGAATATTAACAATAAATTAGAATTAATATCACTCTCCATCATGAAAATAGATCCTGGTATCAACCTATATCAAGGTATCAGGGGCTATTGTAGGGTAACATAATAACGTAGCTGCAGCACAATAACTAGTGAATACTGTAAGCCTGAAATGTTAACAATAAATTAGAATTAATATTAGCCTAACTCAGGGAATGGGTTCTTAACTTTAGTTAAAATTCTCAATATACAAAAAATGAATGGCCTTAAACTCTATTTTGACAGCATATTGACAATGTTGTTACTAGATACAAGATAATGATGGTGATATCGACTTACCTAAATATTCTATCAGTTGTCTAATGCTTAATAATGTTACCATAAATAAACTTAATGATATGATGAAACATAACTCAATCTGAAATGTATGAATTATTTATACTACATACAATAGGTAATCAAATTTGATAATTGCAATACATGTTCGTGTAATCTACATTAAGTATATACTCACTTACAGTTAGTAATGAAGTGAGATAATAACAGTTTCTAGTTTCTGTATCTGATTGGGTAATGCTATGCAGGAAGTAATGAGGACAGTAGAATACAAGTGTTAGCACATTCCTTTTTGCCTTCCACAGATATTTATTGCGCACAGCCTGTAGCACACAGGACACTTTATATGTCCACTCATTTGCAAGACTAAACAGATTAAATGCCCAATTGCCTGTCGGACTACCATCCTTGATAAGAAAAGCGAGACTGAAAATCCATAAAATCATGTGTTATGACTCTATATCGGGATCAAATAGATTTAGAGCTTAGAAAACAGGTGCATGCCTTACAGCTCTAACTCCATACTATTAAATTCTGCTTTGAATGTACATTACATATGAAAGAACCGTTAAAATATCTTACTAATGATTTAGATGTAAATAAACTGCTGGTGGATGGTGAAAATATGGCAAATAAAACATGGAGGACTGACGGGGATAATAGTAACATGGTAACCATGACAACTACTATTGGTTGCTGAATGACATTCATATCTTCATCTTCCTCTGGTTTCAGTTTAAATGATGACACAACAGGAACCAGGAATATTTGTAACATTACAAACCTACAAAAGATATCATAACATTTTCAAATATGAGGTCTCTCCAAACAGGATACAGATCTGATTTAAAGTATGGTGTCCAATGCAAAACAATTGATCCAAATACATGAGGTAAGGTTTGTCTATTCATTGATCCGTGAGAATGATTGAGAGCTGCCATGTTTTAACAACAAACAACAAAGCATGTGTCATAAATGAAATATAACTTTTAATGACTTGTGTGTAACTGACAAAACGATATTAAGGTGTGCATGGGGTACTTGCAATACAGACAAAAGATATCCAGAATCATTTTGAAGGTTCTTTATGGTGATGATACATACCCTAATAGAAGTTGTAATATAGGTATAACAGATAACAGTAGAATAGTACTGAGTACCCAACTAGTTAACATAACACTGATAGTAGGGTAGGCTGTAAACAACAACTGTTCTATAACCTACAATATAAATAAAGATATTGCTCCATTATATTTGGACAAGGTCTATAAGCACATCCAAGGACTCTTGGCATTGATCTTTCCCAGATAATCTATGAAATAATGAGGAAAAATGATTCCAGTAGATCCAGCTGTAAATGGATCCTGTTAATCCCATTAAAAACAGTGTATAACGGTTTGACCATGAACCAGCCGGTACACGGGATCCTTCTCTCCCTAAGATGTTATCTTGATAAAAAAAAATTGCTGTATTTTTCTTTATTTACATGCCAGACAGGTACTGTATTAATTAATATAGATGGATAAAGAAGTTATTTTACTCTGTGAGAGGTTTCCAAAACCAGAAGAAGACACATAATGAAAAAATTCTTATGGATTACAATTACTAACTGTATTTGAGCGACTTTTCGGCCAGTGTTCTCATTCATTGCTTGATAAAGACCAGAGAACACTGGCCGAATCATCTCTCAAATAAAGTTAGTAATTGTAATCCATAAGAATTTTTTTCATTATATCCAACACCTTTACTAAATGACATTCAAAGATCAGAAGAAGACATGTCGATTGCATAATGAGATATAATAAATTAACGGTTTGTCCAAAAACAATTAAAACAATAAAATAATGTCATATTTACCTGGCAAAATATTGGTTCTTCTTTTCTGAATGAAACAAATTGTAGTAAAATCCAGCCAGCTGTTAGTATTAATGCTCCATTTACAGCCAACAATAGGAAGAAATTCCAGAGTGATAACCTGTAAAATAATTAGTTTAATTGCTTATTGAGTTTTTTACCTTCATTTTTATCTTTAAAGGGACAGGTGCTCCATTTTTTTGATACCCTAGTCCCTAGTCAATCAGTAACAATGTTAACAGCTCACTGTCGAAATTTGAGCCCTCAAATCCATATGTGTTCAGAATTATCTGTGTTTGAATGTTAAAATGACCACGCATTTTAAGGTACCTGTATTCAATTTCTTTTGGAAGGATTTTTGAAGGAATTATGTGATTTTCGCATCCAGTACTTCTGAAGAATATTTCCATATATTCTCAAATCAACCCCACAAAATGGTGAATATAACTTTAATGTAAATCTAGGCAGTAAATCATAAAACAATACTAGATTTTATATGTAAATCAAGGAACTGTATATCTGGCACTAGTTGGAATTTTTGTTTTCTGGAAAAATTCAACAACATTATGACATTACTTTAATAAATACCGTTCAAGTCAAATTGAAAAGGTGCAAATCTCCTTAAAACTAAGTCTGAATACTTTAAATATACACAAACTCCTTAAATATAATTATTGTCAACAGAGAGATGTTTGTAGTGATGCAGGCCATCATCATCCTTCTAGAATGCAATAATAATAAACATTTATATTCTACTTTGAAAGTATGTAACTTACCATAATAAAGGAAAAACTGTAACCAACATATAAATATGTACAGGTATAAACAATAATACAAATAATATTACACATCTACAAAAAATAATATAACATCATTCAGCAGATATGTCTTGATAGAGCAAAAATCATCCAGATATCTGATCATATCAAGCTACGTCCATCTATTTTCAATATGTACTATTTTACAAGCTATTGAAGATTAATGACACCTAATTGAAAATCAAATGAGCTATACAGAACATGAAACTTGGACGTAAGTCATCTTCAAATGAACTATTATGGTTATCAATGCATTACTACACCAGCCCCCTTTATAAAGAATCTGAGGACTTACTTTCTATTTTCACCTTCGTTATTCAATAAAATAAGAAAGGCTGCTGACAGAGTTGTTATTATCAGCAATCTGAAACAAACAATTCAATTCCAGATTGGAAAATTTCTACCATGTTGAACTGAATATAGTTTTACTTGAAGAAGCTTGAGGATATAAGGCTAAAGTTATACCTGATGTATACAAATTCTCTGGACAATGAGTAGGAACATCAATAGAAAAATGTGCTTTATAGTGTTAGCAAAACCAGTCAGCTGATTGACAAAAATGTCATCGTGCTGGCTGGCTTAAACCTTAAATTATTAGCAGATTCTGTCATCATATTAAGACTTGCATTCGGCCTCTGCTAAATCTACAAATATATAATTCTAATCATAACTTACAATTCCCCACCAAGAGCTATTAATAAAATCAAGCATGGTAAAGCTGCTACAGATGTATGTTTATTATATCGGTACGGCCCTGGATCCACTAATTCTTTTAAATCTACTTTATCTTCATCAGAATAATCATGTGGCAATGTTGTGGGTGCTTCAAAATCAGAACTGATATCACTGTCTTCATCATCAGTTGGAGTTTCTATAGTCTGTACTCCAAATCGAAATTTAGGTAAATTATCTGAATTTCCTCCAGTTTGTACGGCTTCTATGCCGAATTTTACGTGTAGTTCTGGATCCATTGTTCAAATATCACCTGGAAATCATACAACCATTATGACCGACTGCCCCCCAAAAATACACCAAGTTCACAAACAAAATAATAGCCAATCCTGTGTCTGTTTATTGTAATATTAATTAGACCTTTTTAATTCAAAAATGAACTAAATGAGATTTAAATGATTTAAATGATACTTCTGTTGGACTATTATTTTTGTATATTATTATAGTTACTAGAAAGGATATTTATAAATCTGTTTGAATATTTCTATATTTCTACTTATTGATGTATTGAGCACTAGCCTATTTAACAATGAGAATGTTTTGTTAATGTATCATATGTAAAGGAAATAATAAATAATATTCTTTATCACACTCTTAAAGCCCTAGCGACAGCTGCAAAGACACAGCGCAAACGAAATAGATCACAACTGTCATCAAGATCAAGTTGTAGTAAGTAAGCCTAGATTTGATGGTTCACGGTTGACAAACTAATAGAGCCATGAGGCTAATAACAATACACTCAAACTTAACAATCCTTGTGACTGTGTCCTTGGCTTTTGGGAAGGAAACAATCAAAGATCACAAGAGCTTGAACATGAAGATGCATTGAATGTACAAAAACAGAACAGATTTGCAAAACTAGTGATTAATTAGGCCTTCCGATTTACACGGTGACAAAAAACTTCGTCACTAAAATGACATATATAAACATTGCCAATATTTCAAAATATTCAACCTGGAACTTCTAATTTTATTCAGTAAAGTCGTTTTACTCTTCTGTAAAAATTGTTTCATGTGAGCCACCATTTTTCGGGAAATCCTTGAAGTCACGTGACGGAAAAGGGAGATTCCACACATGTTGGTATTGACGTCATGAGGGATGTTGGTGTACAAGATGGCGGCTGTGGGGGATAATGCTTGTTTGGACGGTGAAGACGATCCAAAAAATGGGGAAGACGGGCTTGTTAATTTGTGCAAAAAGAATGGCATTAACCACACTTGTTTCTTAGGCGATAATTTCAGAGATTCTGTTGAAGCTCGGATTATGAAAGTTGAGAAATTAACTCGATTGAATGGGACATCCAAATCACATTCTTTGCTGCAATCCGGTGCTTCATTCACAAAACCAACCCTCCCAACTTTGCGATCTCGGAAAGAAAAAGTTTCTCCGGAAATTTGTAGGAGGAAAAGAAGATCGTCGAAGCATGAAAGCCCAGAACAGAAAGATATGTAAGTACTGTTAGTAAACAAAGCTTTCTCTTTCTTCTATAAAAGTTCCACGTGATTGGACAGTTTGCTTGTTGAAAACGAAGCCTGCTGTGTGTCGGTGTCTGCAGTAGCCTACTGGCTGTAGTATGTGTATTACTAGGTGAAACTATTTTTAGTTTACTATGGACTGGTTTTTATTAATTATTGACTGAAATGTCTGTTTTTTACTTGAAGGAATAGACATCAAAGAACAAATATTGCATTTGTCACTGAACATTCCTTGCTTGCTTAGGCTAGGCTTGATGAATTACTGGAGTAGGTATTGAACAAGCTTAAAAAATCAAATTAAAAAAAAATTTTTTGTTTACGAAGCTGATAGATCTAACAGATATTGTTGATAGACCTGATCTTTATATAGAAGTATAAAAGAAACAAAAGTAATTTCTAGCATAATGGATCAAGAAATTTATCAACGAAGTATACTTAGGCTTATTGTTATTTATATGCACAATTTGTACTGTAGGCCTACTAAATATATGTGCACTTTACAAATGATATGTTGATGTACTGAACAAACATTGCTTAATAGATATGACAATAGATAAATTACCTGCCATGACTTGACTTGATTGGATCGTGTGTGGGGGTGTGCAGGGGATTTTTTATTATTTGATGTAAAAGTGTTGTCCAAATCGTTGTTCAAGTCTTGAGTCTATTGCTACAAGAACTTAGATTAAATCTGTTATAAAAGTTCATTATGATTACGTAAGTTATGCAATATGCATTATAGAGAATTATTTATACTTTGTTATAATATATAATGGCCGACTTGACTTGCTAACGTAGTTTGAAATATAAATACAAGACAGACAACAGACTGATGTCATTACCTTTAAATTTCAACTAAAATTTTAAGTTGTTTTTGAACTTAATGCACTTTTGGATCATTTGTTGTTACATTTGCAAATATATAATGGTTGACTGGACGTGCTAAGTTGATCATATCCAGATATCATTTAAGATATATAAAGTACAAGAATGTATGCATTATCATGAAATAACAAGTCGTTATGACAACGTGTTTGAAATATTTAAAGTACAAGTTTAATGTAGATAGCATTATCTTTTAATTCCAACTTAAAAGTTCAAAAGAATTTCTGAAGGTAGCAAGTCAATAGTGTACTTAGTCATTTCTATGAGCTTTTTAGTTTCTTGTGGCAAAGTTGGCAATAGACCTTTGACCTTTGCCTCTTCTTTGTTATTTAAGATTTAATTCATTATTAATGGGAATAGAACAGGCTTTCAAATCAGAAAGAATTGAAAAATATAATTGTCTACCTAGATTAATGCTAAATGTTTGAAAAATGAGCACATTATAATTATATTTATTCCATTTTGATTTTGAACTTTTTCACCGTTATTGCTAAATTTGGAGCCTGCACTAAGCAAATATTTAGATGAATATATCCATTCGATTAAAGCATCAATATGTGATATGGAATTCGTGGCATGATTAGCTATATATGGTCGTTCTGAAGGATTAACTTAGTTTCTAGTTTAGGGAGATTGCCTTTGATAGATGATTAAGAATAGACATTGAAAAAAGATTGAAAATGTCGCGAGACTTATTGCAGAGAATAAAATTGATTATTCAACAGTTTCATGCAGTTTCTGATTTCTATTACCAGTCTACTAAAATAGACACACTTTCTACTTTGCTTAAGATTTTCATCTAATTTTTTTGTTCAAATGGCTTCTTGTTCTCATTGAAAATTGCAGTCTTGAAAATGTGAATGGTTTAAGGGTATAACTTATTTTTTTGTCTTGAATATCAAGTGTCAAAGAAAATTGCTTCATTTTTTATTCGCTGATGGTTTAGATTATAATGATCTTTTCCTTCCAGTCTTAAACATGTTTTTTCATCATCTTACAAGGAATAATGAAAAAATAAATGAAAAATTTAAAATTCTATGCAATCAAATAAATTTGACAAAAAGAATTCAAAGAATAAAATCTAAAAGTTAAAAAATTAAAGTTAATTAATCACTGAAATACAATCATTTTTATTGGATATTTTCTGCGATAAATATAATAAATGATAAGATTATTTGTGTATGTTAAATCTTCAGTAGGGACATAGGCTGAAATATGTCATTTGTCTGAAGATCGCACAGCTCTGAAACTCTGAGTAGCATCATATTTCAGGTTCTGTTTTAACGTTTCTATATTGCTCAACAATTGATATTGAGCACTAATTTAAGAGTAAAAATATTTAGTTTTTATATTTATGATATCTGCTTATATTAGGTTTATACAAGTTGTCATATTGGCTCAAAAATTAATAAGTTTTTCTTGATTTATAGACATGATGATATTTGTCATGTAAAACTGAATTATTAACAGACAATAACTATCACAGTAATAGATGGATTGGATTTCTGATGAAAATGTATTTTTTTCTTATTTTAGCATCATCAAAATGTCACAGCCGGCTCATTACATGCCATTTATTCACAAAAACAGTGATGCACAACCTCAAAAATATAGAATAAAACTTTGCATTTCCTATCTATATAATGGTTGCTGTCATTATACTCATTCTATTAATGAAGCATTAGGAATAGATTTTGGCTTGAATATGACTGACACAAATATCTTAATGACGATTTAAGTGTTTCGTCATCTTCACAATGTCAGGCTATTATGATTTGTATCTAATACCTTGACTATAATAACCATTTAAGTTCTTGTATTAGTGGAATTAGTAAATGTAGTGATTTGGTTGAATTGTACATTAGGGAATACAACCAATTAAAGTCCTCGACAGAAAGTCTGTGAACAATAAGTCATAAAAGTTACAGTCTCTCTGTCGAGGACTCTGATTGGCTGTATTTGATGGTGAACAATCCAATCAAGTCACTGCATTACCAGATACAAGAAAGTGGCTATTGCAATCAAGGTATAAGACGAAGCTGTAATAGTTTGACATTGTGAAATTGGTGTCTCCAAGATCTATAAGCTAATAGTTAAGTTTCACAGTAATAATAAGTATAGTAGAAAAGACTTGAAATGTATATATTTAGATAAAATTTTGTATTTGATGGACAAGTTTTGAAATTAATGTATTATTTATAAATACTTTTCTTTGTGAAATTGACTTCCAAACTTATCTTAGAATAATTTCTTTGTTTTAAGATAAATGAAATGATACGATATCAGCAAGATTTGATAACTAAAAAACTTATCTTGATAAAATATTTTTCTTTGTTTAAAACTGAATGAAATAACTTGATATTAGCAGTTAATTAGTGAGGGTAGAAAGGTTATAATTAGTATGGATAATATCTCTAGATCACTAGTTAGAAATCAATAAATCTCAGCAAGCTATCCCTTTACCATTGTCACACTCCCAGTCATTGTTCTTTCTTGTCTTTGGTCAACTCACCAACTAAATAAAGACAGTCAAGACAAGACTGACTGTAATAGACTGAGCTCTATTCAGTGATAATAATTGTTAAATATCTTCCTATGCAGGTTTGTTATTGCATGTTTTTTGATCAGTTGAATATGAGTAGCCATTTTATTTGTAGCATTTTCTAGTCATGTAACAAATTAAAATGGTTTTGTGTATTTTAGTGTTCAAACAAAAACTTACGATTAATTCTTGGATATTCTTCATTTTGAGTATTTTCTAGTCAGAGGAAATTCATTTGGAGTTTCAGTTCTTTTGTGACATTTTTCAGGTATTATTACTGAGAAATAATTTATAGCTTCCGTTTTAGTTCCACTTTTCCGTGAGCTAGTGAAGATTTTATTTAATTATAAATGGCTTGCTTTATTCCCTGGCAATGGAATGAATTGGTTATGCCAGCACTTCATTGGGCTAATTTCTGTCCAGTTATTTTAGTGACATTAAAATAGTAGGGATATTCATTGATTGTGAATATGTTCGTATTATAACATTGAGATGCACAGATATTTTTTTAGGGCGATTCTCATTCATTTTAAATGGCTTGCTTAATTCCTAATTGCTAATAGTAGTATTTTTCTGCATATCTTTGGGCAAATTTCCGTCTAGTTATTTAAACATTATTGAAATAGTAGGGGATATTCTTTGATTCTGAAAACATTTGTACTATTCTGCTATGATATACTAGGATATTTTAGGGCAATTCATGTTTATTGTTTTCTTGTAATGCCTGTTACCACTAGCTTTGCTTGTTGAGTATTGATGTTTAATATTAGATAAGCTTATTTATTTTACTTCCAAAATAGAAGAAGTACAATGGTCCATAATGCAACTGTGTATTCGCTTCTACTATATTGATAATTCTGCACCCCCGGGGTGACTGATACAGTAGAAAATGGGAACGCAATGTGTGTATGGACCGGACCGGGCCTCATCTCTTCCCAGCTTTATGCAGTTTTATAAATGACAATAGATAGTCAAGTTGACAAGGAATAGAGAGTTTATATTTACCGGTACTAGAAGACACTCACTCGAGACTTGTTATAATTTCTTCTTGTTGCACATTATTGATTCACCATTTATACTCGTATCTTATCACAGTTGCATTTGAATAATGGTCAAATCGGCATAAATAAAATAACGTTTAGTCTAGATGGAGAGTTATGATACAAGACTTAACAATATAAGGTACAAAAGTCAATTAAAATCCTTGCACTTTGCATATTGTATGTGACAGTTACATTTTGTGGTTGAGAATCAAAATACGTTTTATGTTGTAGCACTGTAGTAATTGTTTTTTATAGTATGTCTGGAAAATTGGTCTAGATTGAGAGTTGTACAAAATATAGTAATAAAGGTACAAAAGTCAATTGTAAATCCTGCACTTTTGTATTGTTTGTCACAGTTACATTTTATTGTTGAGATACAAAATACGTTTTATGTTGTAGCACTGTAGTAAATGTATATTATATAGTGTGTCTGGATAATTAGTCTAGATGAAGTCAGTATACTTGATTTAGCAAAAAAGGTACCAAAGTCAATTAAAATCTTTGCACTTAGCATATTGTGTGTGACAGTTAGTTTTGATTGTTGAGATACAGAATACTTTTTAAGTTATAGAACTGTAATAAATTTGATTTCGTAGTATGTCTGGAAAATAAGTCTGAATGAAGAGTTATACTTGATTTGCAATTGGCATATTGTGTGTGACAGTTAGTTTTGATCGTTGAGATACACAATGCGTTTTATGTTTTAGCACTGTAGTAAATGTATATATTATAGTATATCTGGATAATAAGTCTAAATGAAGTCAGTAAACTTGATTATAGTAAATAAGGTACCAAAGTCAATTGTAATCTTTCCACTTGGCATATTGTATGTGACAGTTAGTTTTTATCATTGAGATAAGGAATGCGTTTTATGTTGTATAACTGTTATAAATGTATTTTTTTTGGTATATTTGGAAAATAAGTCAAGCTAGATAGAGACTTACACAAGTTCTTGCAAGATAAAATACAATATAGTGAATATAATTCATACTTAAATGCCCTGAATATTGAATACCAGTCAATTTTCTAACAGAAAATATGTTTTATGCTGTTATGCCTGAAGTAAATATTTTTTATAGAATGTCTGCAAATTTAATCTAAATGTCAACTTTTGAAATATATCATATACATACCATATATACAAATTCTTAAACTAATCCTCAAGCGACATTTAGAGGTAGAGATCACATTAAATAACGGACACAATTTAATTGTATACTACTCTTGAGTTCTGTCATTTTCACCTGATTACAATGTAGATTGTTGAAATGTAGTGTGTAATAAAACTAAGGAGTAGTATACCATAAATTTGTGTTCCATTATTTTATTTATTATAAATTCTTGAATTTTATTATTGAAATATGAAATATGATGTATACATGTTAAAAAAGTTAGATGTTGGTTTCTCTTTAAGTCTGAAAATTTAATCTTGAGATATGCTTATTACGAACATCACATACTTTATAGTGTGTGAGAGATTAGGGTGGTTGAAAGGTAACAAGTTACTATCCAACAGAAGGCACTGGCACAGGGTTAAAGCAATGTTCATGAATGTTAAGGTTAAAATGGAAATTCATACTCGTAGTCCAAAGACCTAAAAAACAAAAAAAACTGATACTTTAATTCTTGCACTGAAATGTGTGTGTAATCCTTGCACTTAACAGGTTTATTTCAGGCAGATCTCCGAATCTCTAAAACTGTGCATTGTTTTTAAATAACAGTACAGCATTCAGAGGACTCTCACAGACTGCCTTTGGGAGACCAGGATTCTCCTCGATTTCGATGAGTTTTAGGCATGTAAAATATGTTGTAAGTTGTAATAGTAAATGTCGAATTATCTGCA